TTTTAGCATGAAATTTTCCCACCAAAATCGCCAATTAGCGACAGATTGGCGATTCCATCACTAATTAATCCGTCGTTGTTTTGAAATTTTGGGTGAAAATTTTCCCACCCACACGATTCAAATTAGTGACGGATTTGCGATGTCATCGCTAATTACGATGGATTGGGGATTCCGTCACTAATTAGCAACGGATTAGCGTGTCCGTCACTAATCTCTCAGCCTATAAACACAAAGTTTCTCTTCTTGTTTCCCATTCGATCCCCTCTCTCCTCCACCCAAAAATCCACCGTCGGCCAAAAACCACCACCCATGCCGCCCCTCACCATCAAGTGACTTCCCAAAGCATTCAACTTAGTGAGGTGCATCTTTCTTCCTCAAAATCCAATAAAATCTCTCCTCTCTCTTCTTGGTCCCTTTGGTAAAACTTTTTCTCTCTAACTCTTTTGTTTTTGTTTTTTTTTATATATATTAAATGAATGTTATAAACTTTAGGTTAATTTTGTTATTTGTTAGTTGATTAATTGCTTGAATATTGTTAATTTTTAGCCGTGTTAATTTATTTGTTAATTATTAGTGTATATTTGTTAATTGTTTATTTAATTTTCTTAGTTGTTAGATTAATTTTTTTAAGTATTATTTTTTAATTGTGTTAATTTTTAGGTTAATTTTAACCTAAAAATTTTTAATTATGTTAATTTTTTAGGTTTAACTTTATTAATGTAATTTTTAAAGTAATTTAGTTAAGGTTGATTTATTGTTAATTTATTTATTTTTAATTTTTAGATTAAAATTTAATTATTTAATATTTAATTGTTATTTTAAATTAATTTATTAATCGTGTTAATTATTAGGTGAATTTTGTTAGTTGTTTGTTTTGAGGTAATTTTTAAATTATATAATTTTGTATGTACTTTAGTTAAATTTTGTTGATTATTTCTTAAGAAATTTTTAATTTATTGGTTGTCTATAGATTCGTTGACTAGTTAGCAATCTACCGTTCCTTCCACACGACCTTCCCGTTCAGCCTCCACTCGATCCTCCCGTCAAGCCCTCCACATAGTACCGAAGGAGGATATGGGATTAGACGAGCAAGATAAGTGAGGATGAGTGATAGAATAAACATTTAGTGACTTTGTTTTATTTTACCGAATGTACTACCGAATGTTATTGTTAAAATTAATTCATTTTCAATCTATAAGTTATTACTTTTAATTGTTAACTATTACATCCAATATTAATTATTAAATATTAAATGCAATATTAATAATTTTAAAAAAACCAAAGTAAAATGAAAAAATATTTATTTTTTTAAAAATATAGCGATAGAATAGCGACGGATTGGTGACAATTTCGTTTTTCAAAATAGTGTCGAATATCGACGGATTGATTTTCAAAATTAACGACGGAATAACGACATATTAGCTACGAATAAAATGACCGATCCGGAGATAAGATTAGCGATGGATTTTCTCGGTTTAGTGACGGATGTTCCGTCCCTAAATGTTGTGACGAACTAAGTATTTTGTTGCAAAAAATTAGCAACAAGCAAGATAGCTATGAAATATTTTTCGTCGCTCTTAATCGGGGCGTTTAGCGACTGAATATTCCGTCTCTAAACTCCTTTTTTTTTTTGTAGTGCGAGTTGGCTCATACTTTCTATGTACCCACAAAATACCAACTTAAATTGTTAATGGTTAAAAAAAAGAGTCTTTTACCAGCAGCACCTATGTGAAATATTTTTTAACATAAAAACTAAAATATTCTTGTTAAAAACACAAGGAGGAGAAACTTTTTTTAAGGCATTCTTCAAATTACAAAGCACTCTCTTTATTGGCATTTAAGGTAAGTTCTCCCTCTTTTCTTTAGCTCTCAATGCTCATTGCCGATTCAAATTCAAATTTTATTTTCCTATAATGTTATTAATATTAATTTTGATTTAATGTATCTGAATTAGTGTATGCGTTTGTCATATTCAAATTATTTAGGTTCGTTTGTACTGATTATTTGGGTTTCTATGAAGAACTGAGAAAGAAGAGTAGTGAAAATGACGGTTTTTTTTTTTTTTTTTTTGGTGGAGGAGGAGAGGAAAGTAGTAGAATGGATAGCAGTCATGGGGGAGAGAGCGGAGGAGGGAAGAGGAAGAAGGAAAAAAAATATGAAAGTAAATTTAGACATATATCAATAAATTGGATTGGTTTGGCTGTAGATTTGTTTTTCAAAAAAAAAAAAATTAGACATGTATCAATAAATTGGATTGGTTTGCTTGTAGGTTAGGTAACGGAAAATGTAAATACCGGTAAAAAAAAAATTAATCAAAACAATTTAGAAAATAAAAATGAAACATTAAAATAAATAAAAACAGATAGGAAAAAACTAGTATAAAATTAATAATAAAGGGAACCATAAAAGTATTTAATTCTAAAATGAGCAATGGCGATAAACTATATTTTAGCTGATACTAGTTTAATATATTTTTGTAAAGTTATTTCAGTTTAATTGTATGTGCTATGCTGTGAGTTTATTAAAGTACATTGAATCAAATATTAAATTTTTTTCACCTGATTTTATAATCAAATTTTGTATTTAATTATCCTTTTTATATTTTTTATAAATTTTTAATTTAAAAAAGCATGATTTTTTCATGATTTTTTAAATAAAAACATGTAGTTATCTAAAACAGAAGATTCGATCCAAAGTTTTAAAAAATGTCTTAATATTTTTTTCCCCTAAAATTATTTTAAAAAATAAAATAATAATTAGTATAAAAAATTATATAAAAATAAATAAATAATTTTTTTTATTGTTATTTAAGGTTGATGAGAGGACTTTTTGAAAGTATGTATATTTGGTGTGTGTGTGTGTGTGTGTGTATAAAATAATCAATAATAATAGCATAAAAAATATATTTGAATAATTAGGTAGTTCTTCTTAAATATTATTTTAATTATTTTATTTAAAAAAATGATTTTAGAATATCTAATAAATAAATAGTAAATGGTGGTGTTTTTGTGTGCGGATACATATCTAATTTTCAATCAAACTAATGATTCAATATTTTTCTTTTATACTTGAATAAGTTCAAAGTTTGTAATATAAAATGAAAAATATTTTAAAAAATACTTAACTTGTAAGAAATATATTGAATAGATTTAAAGTTAACAGAATGAAATAAAAACTATTATAAAATTAATTTTGATAAATTTTGGTTACATAAATAATAAGCAAATAAAACACTTGATTTTTATTTTTTCTATTTTAAAAATTATTTTTATTTATAGGCTCTACATGCCTAATCTTTGTGCTTGGGCCTTGCAAGCATGGAAAACCTCACAAAATAACAATTGATTTTTCATATTTTTTTGTACCAAATTCAATAATAAAAAAATAAAAATAAATCACTGAAATTTTTTTTGTTAAAATCAATAAATAAGGTTATAAAATTTGTTTAGAACATTAAAACTCATGTTGATGCATATAATAGATAAAAAAAAAAAAATTCAAATTGAACTTAAAAACTCAAAATATTTCAAGGTTTCGATCTGCTTTATCTGATTATTTTTAGCTTGACACTATTATAAGCAAACTTTTTTTTTTGAAAAGTAAACAAAGGCAAGATCGATGGTTAAAGTAATCGAAATAGATTTGATCGTGGCTTTTTCTCTATGTCGTTTCCTCTTTTCATTTTTTCCTCCTCTCGGTAGAGACTAACCCGTGATATGTATATAAAAATACAATGAAAGTTGAAACAAAATTTGTTTAGAAACATTAAAGATCAAAATGCAATATTTGATAACTCGCATATCCCATATCTAAAAGCAGCTTAAAAATTACAATAATACAACTAAGGAGTGAAAGTACACAGTAAATATGAATCTGAATCTACAATATTTTAGAGTCACAAATTCAATAAACAATAACCTTATATAGTAAACATGTCTGACTTTTTTAGTTTTTACTACATTAACGTACAAAGAATTACACAAACTGGTGTGAGCAAGGTATGTCTAAATACGAGCTTGGAGAGTGGTTTATTAGCGATTATATGCACAAATAATTTTTTTAATCTCTTTTTTTTTCCCTGAAGATTAGGTTGATTAACAAACCGGATGCTCTAGCATCCTACATTACAGTCCTCTCAAAAAGAAAAAAGAAAAAAGAAAAAGGAAAAAAAGCATCTATATAAAAGGGGACCTCTCAATTATCTCACTACAGAAACATTTATGACCTTAGACTTGTAGAGTCAGTTTGAAAAACAACGTTTTCCTTATCTTCTTATTTCTCAACGTTCAAAATGCACACGGTGTGATACAATTTAGCATACACTGTTTTTTTCTTTTTTTATTCCTTCTCCTCCTCCTTCTCTTTTCCTTGAAAGAAGAGAACAAATAAATTTATTTATTTGATATAAAATGTGCAAAGCCATAGTAATATGACCTAGATATGAACCCCAAACGGTACAATTTAAGTACGCAAAATATAACAACGGTGCTATATATCAACTTGTCCAATTAACCAGTCCCTTTACGCACATTTGTTCCCTATTTATATAGTCTAAAACTGTCTTGAAAATTCGAATAAAACAAGTACTTGCCATAAGAGATCTACAATCTTCTAGAAACTTAAAAACGAAAAAGAATTTCAAAACCCTTGAGTGTGGCAGTAGTGATGCAAGCAATACTTGGACCTTTTTCACTTGTTTCATGTTTCTATTCGCATGGATGCTTTTTCTTCTACCAGCCGGTAGCCCAAACTCCTCCCCATATTAGAAAAGGGCCTCAGAAATTTCTTACATTCAACTTTAACTTCTAAAATGTTTTTATACCTATTATTTTAATTTATGTTTCTTTTAAAAGAAATGTTTTTATATCCGTATTTTATTAAAGGTAAAAATAAAACACCTTTAAAAATCCTCCAATTAATGTCGGTCATATCACCTTTCAGTGTAACAAGGGTCATCCTCTGCCCCCATGGGCACAGTGAGGACATGCATGCTAAAAACGATGGGGCAAAATGGACACCACATTTTGACAGACATGCTCTTTCATATTCAACTATTCAAGCCTGCCTTTCTTCCTTGCCATCGAGTGCTAGCTACAGGCAGTGTTTATCTTTGGGTCTGGTGGCTTCCTGGGCGTGAAAATGGTGTCAAATCAGCTGCCCAAGAATGGCAAAAGGGGATGATAGAACTCAGAAGGATCACTTATAATTCCATCTCACGCTTCTCCTACCATATCCCTAATAAATTTTTAGCTAACTGTGCATAGCTTGATGGGTCTAAATTTTTCCCATTTAAAGGAAACTTTTTGCTATAACACGCTACCACATTTTTGGACCGGAAAACTTGGTCAATGGCCACTCTCTCTCTCTCTCTCTTTCCTTGGCTGATCTTTTTTTTCTTTTACATTTTTCTCATGCCCGATTTGTCATCTTACCTCTCCCAATTTTTTTTAGCCATCCTTTTCTTAGCGATTTACTGTTACTTGAAGTTTTTATTTGTTTTTACTGTTTTTGAAGTCCCAGGTGTAATCTGAAGCCAACCCTTTTTTTCTACAGCGGGGGATGTGACCTGTCGATAATAGAATCATAAGACCTTGCATACACGCGCCTCAACGAGCATGCGTAAAAATTTTAAAGCGAGCTGCGAGACTAGAGGATGCATTTAACCTATGATCCCATCCGGACTAACTTGAATATACAGGATATTTTGCATACAGTTGGTATTTCCAATAAGATATATACATATACATATCCAAACCCTAATATGTTAGATAATAAATATTACGTGAACATTGTCAAATTCAATCAAAATCCGACCTAAGGATCCTCATTGTCATTCCAATGCCAGACAATAAAAATGAACAGTATTCTATTAAAACAGATTTATTGAATCAAATCAAAACCAAAATACCAACGCGATTTGGATTTTAATTAAATTCAGTTATTTAAAAACTAAAACCAAATTGATTTCAATTTATTTTTTAAAATATTTACTTTGATTTTCAGCAAAAAACAAATAATATATATATATATATATAGTCGTTTGGATTCCAAATAATTTGATTTACAATATATTTAAAAAATAAATATTTTTTTATCATTTTAGACGTGAATTAATAGGCTTGTATTTAAAATTTTGATGCTTTATTATAGGGTTTGTTTTTATACATTAGTTTTATTTAAATAAATATTAATTATTTTTTCTATAGATTAATTTAGATTATTTAGGTTAAAAGAAGGACTTCATAATTCATAACAGTATTTTTTATGTTATTTATATTATTTTAAAAAATAAAAAAATAATTTTTTTGAGAAAAAAAACCAAAAAATTAAACATAAATTTGATTTAAATTCGGTTGTTTTTTATTAGTTGATTAATTAAAAACCAAACTAAATATTAAAAATCAGTACTGAAAAATGGATTGCTCACGTGGGAGACTCTCAGACCCTGAAATGCGGCTCTCTCTCTCAGTCTGACCCCGGAATGCGGAAAGGTACTCTTAGCTATCGTACTCGATTGCCCGGAATTGAACGCACGCGCTGTGGTCCTCATTGGATGAGAAAGGAGAAAAGGACTTATTTGAGTGGAGGGAGAAAAGGACCTTAATACGATGAGTCATCGATATATATTTTTCAAAGGACTCAGATTTTGAAAACGACTCTTTGCTAGTTGCTAGCATAAAGATGATCCCCATTAAAAAAAAAGAAAAAAAGAAGAAGAAGGTATAATAATAATGAAAAAGAGACCATCCACATAAAAATTGCAAACACCAGATCAGAATATGCTACAATATATATATATATATATATTTGCATAATATATATGGCAATTTACTTCTTTAATTTCATCATTTAAAATTTTTAGAATAAATTATAACTTAATTCTTACATTCTTAAGAAATTAGTCCATCTACATCCAGTCTTGTTCATCATAAAATCATAAATCATTCCTTTAACACCAAAACTGGTAAGTTAGTCCCGTCTTGTCCAAATTACCAACACCAAAACTGGTAGGTTAACGTAATTATTTTTCTCTCTAAAACCATCCAACCCCATACATTTGTAAGGAATGAAAAATGCAAAAGTTAGTCCCGTCTTGTACAAATTACCAACCCAATCTGACTCTCTCGCATTGTTTTTTTTTTTTTAAAAAAAAAATCTTGTTTCTCACACCTATCAGAACAAAATAACTTAATTGCAAGAAAAAAAAAAAAGAGATCCAAATCAGGAAAAAATCAGTTAGATTTTTTTTCTTGTTGACCAATAGTTCATGGTGCTTCATAACCAATTAGCAATAATTTAATTAAATTAGAATTGATGGCCTTCTTCCGGTCTAGAATTAGTGGGCTTAACTACAAATGCCGAAGTGAAGAGTTGGAACTAGCAAAGTCTAGAGTAGTTGCAGTGTGGAATAACATAACGGAGTCCAGCTCCCCATAGCAACCAAACAGCATTTTGCTTAAAAATTCGAGGGTCGTACTGTTCAGATTGGGTCTCAGTGGGCTTATCTTGTGCCCTAGGGAGGCCATTTAGACTAGGCCTACTCTTAAGGTGTTGCCTAGTTTGGGCTTTCCTCCAATGTAAATTAATTCCCCCAGAAATAATAATAATAATAACAATCAAGTTTTGATTCTTAGGTAGAAATTCTCAGCTGGGAGATTAAGGATGTGTTTGTTGGTTGGGTTGAACAGGACAAACGAAACTGGATTAAATTAGATATATGATATTAGATTAGACAAAATACGTATTTTTTCGTAAGTTTTTGCAAAAAATCCTTATTTAATTTTTTTAGTTTTCTATTTTTTTAGTATATGCAGTTTAGTCCTTGAACAAGAAAAGTTTTTCAATTAAACTTGTACATGTAAAACTTCATTTTAATAAAAATATATGTAATCTTAGTCAAACTTTAGTCAATCAAATTAAAAAATAAATGAGTTACAGATAGATAATGGATAATTAAAAAAAAAAAAATTTGTCTATAGTATACTTCTTTTTTTCTCCTTCTAAATCAATGGAGCTGGTCAGTATGATATATTTGGTAATGCAGTAGTATGACGATATAGACCAACCAAGTCTTGGGTCAAGAGTCGCAAAGCATCTGTCTGTGGATTTTCTAGCAAACAACAAACAAGGAGTAAGTATGTTGTTGACTTGGCACATCTCACTTTTTTTCGGGAGTGGGATCTGCATAATCGAAAGTTACAGGATGGCATGGTGTTTGCACTCCTGTAATAGAGTGATTCCATGAGGTATAAGTCAATGTTCTTCTTTCAAGTTCATCTTCAAGCCCATTCATCTTAATACAAATAACAATATAGAAATAAATAGATATTTTAACGTAGATTACAAAAGAAATTGTCAGAAAATAGATGATTAAACAAACAAAACTTGCCCAATGGTGTCTGCTAGAAAGTGAATATAAGTTTAGCAGCATGACTTCAAGCCTTGACGAGTACGATTGATCTTCTTAACTCTATTTCTACTATTCATGGAGAGTGGCACCGTTATGGCTATCTTTACAACATATAAAGTGTTCAGAAAATGGCTTTGCAATTGACAGAACCAGACTATGTAATTATAGAAGCGTGATTGGGAACCATACTTTCACTGAGACTAATGCGCATCTAGAATTTAAAATTAGCTATTTCATCAGTGAATTATTATTATAACAAAATCCTTAAAAAAAATAATTTTGTTCATAGCATCATCATAAACCATTCATGGCAACCGTAATTAACTATAATAATTTCTAATTTTAGATGGAAAATCAAAAGTTACTTAAGATTATTGTCTTTTAATTCATGAATACAAATTTTGAAACATATGAATTTCATTCCTGGGTTAGACGAAGAAAAAACCATAATAGAAAAATCTCACCAATTGTTACAGTTTATAAATAGAAAATTGATTTCTCTCTCTCTCTCTTATTTTTTCTAAACAAGTTTTGTTTAATAGATTTTAACCATGTTTATTTTTCTGAATAGAGAGATAATCAAATATAAGTGATGTTATAGTTTAATCTAATGTATAAGTCCATCAAATATGAGTTATTTCTTAAATGAATAGATGAGATTTATTCAATTAATAACTTTTCATTTAATAAGATAAATAGGTAATAAATTCCATTAAAAAATTAGTTGTCGTTGGCCTAATCTCTTAATTTCAGGCCACTAATTAATTTCCAAACGTTAACTATCCAACAAAATCCCTCCAAGAATGTTCAGTCATCTTGTCTTCACGCAGTAGAACTTGAATGGTGCCTGCTGTGCGGGGTGCATGCAGATCGAACTCGTAAGATACATTTTGCACCAAGTAACTGAAGACTTGGAAAATGGAAATATTGTACCTTTCCTAGGCAAATGTGTTCAACACACGAAGATTGACCTTTAGTTAATGAAAATGCATTGCTTTTGTATAACGACACCAGCGGGGTTGTTAAACCTTTTTAACTTTAAAGACGTAATAAAGGAAGACGACGCCGGTGGGTTGTTACAGCTTACACTGGTTAATTCTCTACCTATCGTGTCCTTGTCACAAAAAGTAAAACAAATAGCTAACCTTCAAAAGCTTTGATATTTGATTTTGCTTAATATCTTACTGTTGCCCTCAAAAGGCGAAGTTGCCTTGTCCATCGACAAAATGACTTTGCTTATGATTGTTTTTAATCGATTTATTGTTGAATATTAATTTATTTTCTTTCTATTACCTAATCATCCTTCACACACATGATATCATGTGTTATATACAAAAAATCAAAATATAATGCATCTTGTAATGCATGACATTATCAGGGAAGACATTTTAATTGATATCATCAATAACTTGTAATCTCATCACGTTGGTTTTAATAAAAATTAACAGCATTAATGCATCGGAGGAGTTGCTTGGTGTTACTATGTTGCGTTAAATTGCTATGTAAATGAAAAACAATGCTGGTAAAAATCTTATACCATAATTATTGATTGTGGTGTTTTGAAAAATTCCCCTTTTACTTAAAAAAACTATAGAATTCTAAAATATTTTCCTTATCATTCAAAATCAAAATAATCTTATATTTTATTTAAAAACGGCATGCTTTGCCTCTAAAATAACGAGAATTTAATATAACAAATACGGTGCTAGCTATTAATACTTTTTTTTTTTCAAAACCCTCTCATTTAAAGTACCATTCATAAATACACTTAAATCTATTGGTGTAGAAATTAATAACCACGCATCTAATTTTTTTTTTTAATGACCAATTTTAAAAGACCAACGTACTTTCTAGTATTTAAGTTTTAAACGCCTCTCTGTTAATCTAGCAAAGAGAATTAAAGCATTTTCTTATGGTTGCTTTGTTAAGTCATTCTTGCCAAGTCAATAATATCATTCAACTTATTATTTTTTACTTAGTCATAAAATACGTAACATGGTTTTCTTATATTTAATGAATCTTTGAGATTAGCTATCTTGTTTTTAGATTTTATCTATTTTTTTTCACATTTTAGGAAAGAATAAATCATAAACTTCTTATTGGAGGTTATAGGTTTGATTTCGTAAGCTAAGAATGATGCGAACCCTTTAAATGAGCGAGCAAGCGTTTGAAAAAAATTGTCCAATGCAGAGAGTTGTTGGTATTAACGGGCGATCATTAAAGGTCAACGAACTATTTTTTGAAAAATAAAAAAATGAAAAAAACATAAAATTTATCGGGAATGGCAACACTGTAATACTTTACCACACACGGGGTCAAATTAAGCAAAGTCAACTCGTGAAAATCGTCTCTCTAACCACAAAATTCCCTTTCATTCCCTTCATTTCTCTTTACCTTTCCCCGTGAAAAACCGAGACGAAATTAAAAGAAACAAAAATCAAATATTTGTAGAAGAAGCACCGCAGCATGGATTCCTTTGAATCAAACGAAAATCACCAAATCGCCAGCAACGGCAACACTCGCTCAAACGCCAACGATCACGGCTGGCAAAAAGTCACTTACCCGAAGCGCCAGCGAAAGCAGAAATCCGCAGCAGATTCCGCCGCCAATAATTCTCATCCCGCCGCCAATGACGGCAACAAGCCAAATAATGTTTTCCGTTCTCTCGAGCTTCAATCCGAGGACCGACGCCGTAAAATTCTCGAAGCTCAGACAGGTGCCGCAAATGCCGCCGCTGTAGTTGATACTCGATCGAGATCGAAGCACCACCACCGATCTGATGACGATGATGATTATGATAGCGATGATGCTTTAGTTTCCAGAGAGAATGCTAAGGCTGAGGATAAGAAAGTGAAGCAGAAGAAGCCTAAAAAACCTAAGGTGACTGTAGCTGAAGCCGCCGCTAAAATTGATGCCGCCGATCTTGCTGCCTTTCTCTCTGACATATCGGTAGGTGCATGCATGTTTATGTCTGCTATTTGGAATGACTGGTATATTTTTGAAGAAATGTAATTTCAATTTTCAATTTTCATTTTTTTATTTTTGTAGGGGTCATATGAGGGGCAGCAGGAGATACAGCTGATGCGATTCGCGGATTATTTTGGTAGGGCGTTTGCGGCAGTGAATTCGTCTCAGTTTCCTTGGGTTAAGATGTTCAGGGAGAGTACCGTTGCCAAGCTCGCCGATGTGAGTTCTATTTTATTTTTGTTTTGATTTGACGGATTGGTTTATTGACAGATTTGATGTTAAATTCTGCCATAGGTTTAAGATAACATATTTCAAAACTTGTGGATTGTCTATCTGCATTGCATTGTCATTTTTGTTAATGTGTAGCGAATAATCGGCATTGCCTTGATTGTAAGCTGATAGCATTGTTGAATTTGATTTCATAACGATGTTTTCTGTATATGGCTTGATGTATAGTTCTAATCTTTGATTAAATGTTTGTCTCAAATGTATTCTTTTGATCTTAATGTTACCTGCGTTGTTGATATTTTGTGATTAATGCAAATGGATAGTCTAAAAACTTAAGGAATTGTTGGTTTTCTTTGCAATTGTTCTTGAACTAATTATTGTATTCTTTAACAGATTCCGCTGTCTCATATTTCTGATGCTGTTTATAAAACATCGGCTGACTGGATTAACCAACGCTCTGTTGCAGCACTTGGTTCGTTTATATTATGGTCTTTAGACAGCATTCTTGCAGACTTGGCAAGCCAGCAAGGTGGTTCTAAAGGTTCTAAAAAGGGTGTTCAGCAAGCCTCATCGAAATCTCAGGTAAGTTGCTGGAGACATTGCTGTGTTTTTCCTACTCCATGTCTTACACTTGTCTGAACACTGGTCTGATGCATGGCACTGTTGGGTTGTGTTTTTTTCTGATTTGCATGAATATTCAGTGGTATCCTACACGTAGGCTAATTGCCTCAGGTAGACTAAGATAGAGTTTACTTTGTGTATATTACAAAGTTCTTGCTTCAATTTGGAGATATAATCATGTACTTTACTCTCTTTATTAGAATGTTGTCATGTCTTTATTGTCTTGAGCTTTTAAAAATATCGAGCATTCTAAATTTTCATTGAAGCATATATTTTTGGCCTGAAACAACATATGTTCACTGGTAAAGCACTTGTACACTTGTCGTGTTATGATGGAGAATTGAGGAGATGGAAAAGAAATATGAGCTTTTGCATTTTGATTTGATTAGATGAATTCATCTTTTCCTGTAAACATGGGATGTCATTTGTGTGAGCTGATACACAATTATTTGTTATATTCATTAAAAAGCGGGCAGCTGGACATGCAAAATTGAAACCTTGGCTTATTGAATCAATTCATGTGGCATCTATGAGAACATAGTTTTTGAAGAGTAAGCACTTGCCTATGAGGGGTTCTAACACCTCAATAATTACTACCAGTCCGAAACCCTTGCATATTACTTGATGATGTGCATAGGCTTCAGGACTATGGGCTCCTTAACCCTGCTGATCTCAATTTCTTAATGTAAATATGCTGGCTTTGTCATATTTTCATATATAGCTTGGTCTCACCTCTGAGTGTTAATGATACGCCTCAAATGTGCTTCCCGCTGACTTGATGCCTGGCTCATGAACCTTAAAAGTTTAATTTATAAACATCAACCCGTTTTTCAATTTAAGTTGCACTTAGTTTCTTTCTTTGAAGTGGTGTACATCAGCATAGATGCAAGCATTGGTTTCTTTGTATTTCTGATTGGATAACCAATACACTTGAACTAATATCTTGAAATCCAAATACTATGAATTGACTTTTAAACCAAGCACTGGCGAATGCAGGCCATCATCTGGTGGGTGACCCATTATGTAGTTGTTCCATAACCACCATCCTCCTGACCTAAAAGTGGAGATGGTCAAATTTAGGCTTGAAACTGAAGAACTTAGATTGCTTTATTTTAGCTATGTGGGACTGTTTATTTTAGCTGTAATGGCTAGGTTTGACATTCCCCTATAAATTGCAATTTTAGAAACTTGAGATGTTTCATAAAGGCTGCTGTCATAAATATACATATTGAAGCCATTTTGGTCAAATCAGGTTCCTAAGATGAAATTTTCATGAAAAGCTCTATTTGAAGTTAGTAAGCAATGTGATTCCCTTTTTTATACCTGGTATGTTATTATCCCGTCAGTTGGGATATAGAGTGCATCCATCAGTCGTTTGATTCCTACAGTTTAGATTTCTTTACGAGAGGGTGCTTTAGGAAGTCAATGTTCATAATCATCTCTCACAAAAATGTTTGTGGGCAGTGTAAGAATTTAGGAGAGTGACTTTCTGAACAAAATGGTTTTGATACATCACATATAACTCCAGGTGTTCTTCTTGGATGCCAAAGTTTGGTCTTTGAGTAAATAAATCAGGATTTTCTTGCACAATGGCCTGGCTTAGTAAGGCTTTTGTTCTTCTTCTCCTTGATGAGGCTTTGATGTGCATTGTCTTGAGAGATTTGATCATCTGCCATATAATTTGTTTGAATATAAACAGATCACGCTTTGCATTTTTCTCTTAGTTGAACCATCTACAAACCAGCATGTCGTAGGTCGCTCCAGTTTTTTATATCTCCATGATTAAAATCGAGCTTTGACCTATAGCTTACTAGTAAAACTGGTGCTTTTCTTACTGAGTTGTGGCTTCAGCAATCAGAAGGCCTGATATGTTGTTAGCATAGTTTTTTTTTTTTGGTTACTAATAACGAGACATAAAAACAGACCACCAGACACCTGTTACCTGTGTAATTTGGGACACATAATTTTGTGCATGGCCGTTTGTTGATGAAAGGGTACATACAAATTGTGAGCATGCAGCACGTCTTGGCTATTGATGAATTGTTGGTCCGAGGATCCATTATCTAGGTTTTTCCTTGTAACAACTCTCTCCTTCTCTTCCTTCTTTCTATTAACAAGCAGATTAGTCTAATCCAGATGCTTTCTTTTACTCTCTGAATTACAACTTTTCTTTAATTCCAATACCTTGGTGATACTATACATATGTAATTGCAAACTGCCGTTTTTGTTTTTGTTTTCTTCTGCATGTTTTATTATGGATAGGTTTGTTTGTGAAAATTCTTTACTCAGTCTAAGAGCTGATGTATAAATGAAATGGCAGGTCGCAATGTTTGTGGTTCTGGCAATAGTTTTGCGACGAAAACCTGATGCTTTGGTTAATGTATTGCCAACACTTAGGGAAAGTTCAAAGTATCAGGGACAGGACAAACTTGTGGTTATTGTATGGATGATAGCACAGGTAACTGAAAAATTGTTTTGACTTCAGCAGTCTGCAAGATGAGCACCTGTAATCGTTATTAGCTTAACTTTGCAAACCTTGTTATGTAGGGATCTCATGGTGATTTGGCAGTAGGATTGTACTCTTGGGCACATAACCTTCTGCCTATAGTGAGTGGCAAAAGTTCTAATCCACAGTCCAGGGATATGATTTTGCAGCTAGTGGAGAAGTATGTAGGCTTTGTAATCAACCATTCCTTCACCCCTGCACATCTCCTCCTTTGCACTGAACTCTCTAATTTTCTTGAAATTGTATTCTATTTGGTTGCAGAATTTTGTCTGCCCCAAAGGCTAGATCAATATTGTTAAATGGTGCTGTTAGAAAGGGGGAGCGCTTGATGCCACCTTTTGCACTTGAAATCCTGTTACGGGTTACCTTCCCTCCATCTTCAGCTAGAGTAAAGGTGGGTATTCTTTTATCTGGGCATTTGTAGTATTGGTGATTGGAGATGCTATAGATTCAGTGCTCTTAAATTCTCAGGTATGTGGTGTTTTATGCAGGCTACTGAAAGGTTCGGAGCAATCTATCCCACCCTAAAAGAGGTGGCTCTTGCTGGCGCTTCTGGAAGCAAAGCAATGAAACAAGTAGCACAGCAGATACTGAGTTTTGCCCTACGGGCTGCTGGGGAAAGTATGAGAACTTGATTTGATTGCACTTTTAGTTCTGTAATTTTTTCCCCATCTAGGGAAAATGACAATCTTAAAGTTGAGGGTGATAAATAGACTGTCTGTAACAGGCATTCCTGAGTTATCTAAGGAAGCAGCTGGCATTACAATCTGGTGTTTGACCCAAAATGCTGATTGTTACAAGCAATGGGTAAGTTAATTTCTTTGTTTTTTGTTTTCTTTTTTTTACGGAGTTTTATGTTCATAGATGCTGGCTACTTTTCGTCCTTATTTTGGCACCCACACACCAGCCCCCCCAGCCATGTTTACTAATCTTGTCATGAACTGGTGAAGCAGGATAAGGTTTACCAGGATAATCTAGAAGCCAGTGTTGCTGTTCTTAAAAGACTCTTGGAGGATTGGAAGGAGCTTTCGGTGAAATTGGTTCCTCTCGATCCTTTGAGGGAAACTATCCATAGCTTTAGACTGAAGGTAGTTTGTTTCTCCTTTCCGTTACTTCTTCTCTTTTAACATCTTACCCTATAAAAATGCTATTCATGTTTTATGAGAAGTACTTTTTCCAATCCTTGGTCTATGATTTTTGCATATAGAACGAGAAAGGAATGGCACCTGAAGGTGATGCTGCTCGCCAAGCACTCTTCAGTGATGCAGACAAGTACAACAAGGCGCTATCAGGAAAATTGTCCCACGGCCATGGTTGCCTTAAAGGTATGGCCGTTGTTGTCATTGCATTGGCTGCTGGCGCTGCCATCATGTCATCAAACATGGAGTCCTGGGATTGGAAGGAACTGCCTGTATTTATTAGCTCGCAATTCTCTTTCTAAGGAGGCTGTTTTGTGATTGTCAACAACCATTGGTGCAAAGCATCGATTTGTTTTTAATTTTTAGGATACTAACTTTCCTCAATTTTGCACTTTGATATTTAATAGAGAAAGACAAAAATTTTCGATACCACTTTGAGGATCCTTTTTTGGTGGATCGCACACAGCATGAGAACATAGGCTGTTATAATATTGAGAGAAGTACATTGTGTCTGGGGTGGAAAACCGTTTGATGTGTCTCTTTTATTTCAAATAAGTGGATCAAAACCAGTTTTTATGTGTTTCTTCGACTTTGAGGGTTATGTGATCAAATTCATATTACATGTTGAAAATAGATATTTGAATAGCTTAATAGGGAATGAGTTCCGAAAAAAGTAATAACCAACGGGCACCATTTTGTTCAGTCTCTTTAATGCATCTTGAAAAGATCCAATACATTGTGAGAGAGAGAATTTCAGTTTGCAAATAAAACTGAGCTAGCAGGCCACTTCTACAATGACAAGTCACAGGTTGGAAAATTCTTTTGCGTAAGCTACTGCATCTTGATAAAAGCAAATGGTCATATTATTAAATTTCAGTTCTCCCATTTTCTTGGCGTTTCCCACTAAGTCAGGGCGAAAAGAAAACCACCCGGATTGAACAGAAAGTATATTCTAACAACTGGAGTTCAAATGTTCGTGTGAATTATGCAAATAACAGATCCCACAAAGCTTGCCAAGGGCTTCCTGTTTCTGCAATTTTTAATCATAATCTTCGGGTGTAGCCCAAGGATACCTAAGATAACCGTTCTTGATTTTGGAAGGATCCTCAGGTTTGGACCATGGATACTTCAAGGATGGATCTCGAGGAAATTTCCTGAAGTTCAGAAATGGTGCCCACAGCAATATTCTGTACGTGGGGGAAAGACTTCATGTGTCAAATGAACATTATTATAGGTGCAATGAACTCAAGACAATCGCCACATTATACAAAAAAGTATAACTCACCCTGGAAAGAAAATGAAGATGCACATGAATTGCAAATACGTCTCCAAGAGCTTTCTCCTGTACAATCTTAACCTAAGCCAGTTGAAGATGATAGGCTGCCGTATATTTACCATTAAAAAAATCGCATAAATAGTATTCAGCACCAAATGAAAAAAAGTAGAATCCGAGATTCAATAATTCAGTACCCAGGAGAGGAAAAACAAAATATACAAGATTTATCAAGAGAAAGCACGGAAATGAAGGAAATCACTCACTGGCATCATAATAAAGTACCAAAAGGTAACGATAGCCAATTGTATCAAAACCCATGTCAAATCTTCAGGATTATTCACTCCAGTAATGGCAAATGCTGGCTGCTCTGCCTGATGGAACTATTCTAATGGAAGTCAATCTCATGAAATATAAGGCCTAAGGGGCTGTTTTCATCAGTAAGAAAAAAAAAAAAAGATAAGATAAAAAAGGGTTAAAGACAGAAAATTAAACAGAAAAGACTTACAGTGGCTAAAAGTGCAGCAAACTGAATAGCCAAGCTAGACTTCTTTACTTCATTGTGGTCTTTGGGCTTTCTGCTAATGCTGGCAGCTTTCTGTTTTAAACAAAAGGAGACGTCCAATATTTCATATTTGTTAAGGAATTTCTCAAACGATATATTAAAAATGAAAATATGGAAAAGACCAAGAAAATTGTCTACCTTATCAAGCTTCGTATTGTGGAATAGTTTGAATTTAGCTGCAATACAGAGAGAAGTTCTTCTGCACTGAGGAGGGAGAGTAGGCAAAGCCCTGGGGCTCTGGAAGCTGAAAGAACAGCTCATGTTAAGAGCTCTGTCTGTGTTTCCTTATCGTTTTTAGGCGTTCAGTTTCATGGCATAGGATGCATGGGGGCTCCTAGTGGCAGGGATAGACAGGGCAGAGAAAACAAGAAAAAGAAAAGGCAAGTGAACAGAACTTCATTCATTCAAGGCCACAGGAAATTCAATTGGATTATGATCGTCTAGTAAGATAGCAGCAGGCCTATTGCCTGTTTTTGGCCATCCATCCTGACCAGGTCATCTGTTGGGTTAATGCTGCATTTGATCCCCTGCTCTTAATTTTTCTTCAATTTAGTCCTTCTACTATGTATTTTTTTAATCCTGATAGGCTAATAACATCCCTAGCTCTTTATTTATGTAACCATTTGATCCTCATATTAAAACATGATAGGATTTATCAAGATAAAAAATATTGAATTTTATTACTTTTAGGCAGACAATGACATGATTTAACCCCATCACTGCCGGTTTATTACAACTGTCAATGAGTAATAAATTTAATAAAAATATTAAAATGAAGAGTTGAGAAATGATCGTCGACAAAATAGTAGGGGGACTACGATAAGATAAAATTAATATAGAGGGTTAAAATGCACCATTGACCCACCATTTCTCTATTGTCCCTGAGCCATTCGAATTTGGGTTAATGGTCTTTCTATTTTCTTTATCATGTTTTTATATTGTTGTTTTAAGTTCGTTTTTTTATATTTAGTTTTCTTGTATTAATCTCATTGTTAGTTTTATAAAATTGCAAGACGTGTTAATTTTTTTTTCTATTTCAATCTTGTTTCATTACTCTTTTTGTTCTATTGCAAGACGTGTTAATTTTTTGTTCTAAATTTGTCTCTTTATATTTAATTTCTATATTAATCTCATCTATGTGTTAATTTTTTGACTAACAATGTAAAGCGTATTATTAATCTTATAAGATTGCGACATGTATTAATTTTTTTCTATCTTAATCTTGTTTCACTGTTCTTTTTGTCATGTATTTTTATTTTTGTTTTAAGTTCGTCTCATTATGTCTAGTTTCGTATCAATCTCATTTATCAATTAATTTTTTTGGTTAATGGTGTAAAACACAATGTTAGACTTATAAGATTGCGACATGTGTCAATTTTTTTTCTATCTTAATCTTGTCTCACTACTCTTTTTATCATGTTTTTCTATTTTTGTTTTAAATTCATCTCTTTATGTTTAGTTTGTGTATTAATCTCTTATATCCGTTAATTATATTTGGCTAAGGTGTAAAGCATATTGTTAGTCTTTTAAGATTGCGAAATGTGTTAATTTTTTCTATCAAGCATATTGTTAGTCTTATAAGATTGCAACACATGTCAATTGTTTCTATCTTAATCTTGTCTCACCATTCTTTTTTTTTTTTTTCCATCTTAATCTTGTTTTATTTTTATTGAATTTAAATAATTAAATTTTAGAAAAAATAAAAAATATATTCAGTTATTTTCTCTAAAAATAAAAAAGTAAAGATAAAAATATTTTTTTATTAAAAATATCCTCTATTGGTTTAGATTTATCTATATGATACCAAGTAAATTTTGAGTATAAAATCAAATATGTATAATATATATTTTTTAAATATGAAGAAAGTTTTAGTTAAATTTTTAAATGATAGTTATAATGTTATAATATCTCAAAAGAGCATATTATAATTTACTTATTTTGATTTTATAGATTTCTTAATTTGAGTTGAAAGTGAAATATAATTTTTATTACAAATTTCAATCAAATTAAGAAATTTATTGAAAATTTTAACTAAAATACTCTTCATACACACACACACACACTAGAAATACTTCATTTTATACTAAAATTTGCTTACTATCATAAAAGTTATTTTGAAAAATATTTTTATCTCACCTTTTTTTTTATTTAAAATTTTTTTAATTTGTAGAGAAAATGATGAATATATTTTAACTTTCATCAGTTATTTTTTCAAAATTTATTTATTTGAATTCAATAAAAAAAGATTAAGATGTAAAATAGTAAAAGGATGAGAATATGATGAAAAAAAATAAATTGACATGTGTCGCAATCTTGTGGAGTTAATAGTATGATTTAACACTGTTAAAAACTTAACAAAGAAATAAAATTAAGATAAAAAGTAAATATAAAGGATGAATTTAACAAGGAAAAAAAAAAAGGAGAAATACAATAAAAAAAAAGAAAAAAGAAAGATCCCTGCAATCATTCACCCATTATAATTTCTACCCATTGTCTACAATGCAATAAAAGAAGCAATTTGTTACGCACACACAACAAAAGAAACAAAAGAGAAAAAAAAATTAAAGCCTGAAATCATCCTCGTATGCTCCATTGGGCGACTAAATTCTAAATTAATCCTTTTATTTTTTAATTTTAAAAACTTACTAATTAATTTTTATATTTTTAAATCTACTTGTAATTTAATTTTTTTTCATTATTTTTTAATTTTATTTTTTTAATAAATATAAAAAAATAAAAAAATTGATGAAAAAAACTTTTTTTAAAAATAAAATATATTAAATTAACTATGATCAACACTAATCAATCAATAAATTAATTAATTTATTTTTTAAAAAAACTATTTAGTTTGTTTTGTAAAACTAAAATGACTACTTTATAATTTACTCTCGTTAGGCTGGCACCTTTCTTGTCGTAGAGTCAGGATCAACAATGGACTACCTTCTCTAAACCAGCAATGGACTGCTAGTCTACTATAATTACCATTTACACCAACATATCATCTAGTCGACAAATTAAACCAAAATATGTAAAATCAATTTCATATCTTAGTATAGTTTGATTATTTGTTGATATTTTTTCTATGATTTATTTATTTGTCATTATTAGTAAAAAAATACCAATTAACTTAAAGTTAGAGACATTTAAGTAGTCAAAAAAAAAAAAATTGAATATTCCAACGTGTCATTTTATATATAAAACAATGCATTTCTATTTTTCTGAACAATGTAATGTTTTAAGATACATAAAATTTCAATTTCAAAATTTTTAACTTGTCAATCATAATAATGACACTCCTATAAATGAAATCAAATTGATGTTATAATATAATAAAATTTATCTCTATATGCAAGATTTTCTTGTACACTTATTTTTTATTTTTAATTATAACCTTTCTATTCCATGGGATTTTACTTGTTGTTCATAGGCATTGTACAGAAATCTACCAACACTTTTCAGTTTTCCTGTTTCTTCTGTACTATACTGATGTATGGTATTTTTTTTAAAGAATTTCTTAACATGAAACATGACTAAAGTACAAAGTAGTCTTATTTTTGTAAATGAATTAATTATTTATAAAAAATTAATTATTTAGTTTCTTCATCAATGTTGATCACATTTAATTCAATATTATTTTGTTTGATAAAGTATCATCTTTTTTCATCAATTCTTTCATATTTTAACTTATTTTTTCTTTTTATTAAAATAAAATAAATTAAAAAGAGCAAAAATAATTAAGTAACTAGAACATTTAAAACTATAAAGATTAAATAATTATTTTTAAAAGAGAAGAGACTAATTAATTCGTTTCGAGAAACTAAAGGGACTAATTTATAATTTACTCCCGGAAACATCCGTCATCCAGAAAATTAATAGAAAAATAGAAAAAAAATTGTGAAGAAAAAGGGAGAAACCGAAGATTCAAGTAGAATTCCGTCAAAAAAAGCCAGTCTCCCCAGTCACCGTCCTCACAAAATTGAATTGAGAAACCCCAAACCCAGTTAAAAAAAAAAACAGAGACACCATAAATCCTTAAACCCTTCCGAAAAGTATCGTCTCTGTGTGTGTGTTTTGTTCCTTTCCTTTTACAGTTTTAGCTTAAAAGAAATGATGGCTTCAACGTTCCTAGCTCACTTCAATCTCAACCTCCCTTCTCTCCAGTACACTCCCTTCCATACCTTCTTGGAAGTTATTAGACCCACAAGAAGAAAACCATTACTGTCTTCCCAATTTCATATTAACAATAAAAACTCCAACTTCAACGCCAAATTATGCTCCAACCGTACAGTGCTTACCAGGGTCTGTGGTGATGGAGGTGGAAGTGGTGCCATTGATGCCAGTCCACAACAAAAGGCTAGTGCTGTAACTCCTAAGCTGCCTTTTATTTTTTAAGTTTGGTTATCACTGTCTACTTATTGTCAATGTATCATTTAGTTATCACTGCCTATCTGTTGCCAATGCATCATTTATATTGTTTGAAGAAGATTTTCCAAGTAATGGTTTCTCGATGTTGATTTGGGTTGTGCTGATATGTTAATGGTGTTTCTTTATGGGTTTTCTTGCTTATGATGAATGATGGAAGTATCTCTGAGTTCTGGCCTAGAATATATATATATATATATATATATTTTTCTATCTAGATTGTGTAAGCATGTAGCCCAGGAAAAAAAAAATTAGGGAGCCCATATCAGTAGTATTTTACGTAAAGTCCTGGTCATTTACCGAGCTAAAGTTTCCGAAGAAAACTGTGATTCTTGTATTTTCTTTAGAATTAGCAATTCTTTTATTATGTTTCTATTGTATTTTCTTTCTGGAAACCTGTGGGCTTGATTGAGTGGCAACATGATAAATTAAAACCTGGTTATAATAATTAAGGGATGACAAAAGTTCCTCTTTTTATGCTAAATACTGATGCATCGTTTCTCTAATTTCAGAAGGTTGAGGAAAAAGGTAGCTCATCTAGTTTCAATGATAGCTATGTGGCCTTGTTTGTTCGGATGCTTGGGCTAGATAACGATCCTCTGGATAGAGAACAGGCAATAGTGGCACTGTGGCAATATTCACTCGGAGGAAAGAAGTGCATTGATAATATCATGCAGTTTCAGGGATGCATCAATCTCACTGTAAACCTCCTCCAATCGGAGTCTAGTTCGGCATGCGAGGCAGCTGCTGGCCTCCTACGATCAATATCTTCAGTTAATGTATACAGAGATGTGGTTGCAGAAAGTGGAGCAATAGAAGAGATAACTGGTTTGCTCTGTCAACCTTCTTTGACTCCTGAGGTATCAGAAAATTATTTCATCAAATGAAATTCTCTCATCTTACCGTTTGGTGTTGGAAATTGGATCATTGAGGTAGAGTGTAAACATATTTCAGGTGATGGAGCAAAGCATATGCATTCTTTGGAACTTGTCTGTGGATGAGAAGCTCAGGGTGAAAATTGCTAACCCTGATATCCTGCCTTTACTGATTAAGTCCCTGGAAGATGAGGACATGAGAGTGAAGGAAGCAGCTGGAGGAGTATTGGCAAATTTGACATTGACCCACTCCAACCATAACATCATGGTTGAAGCAGGGGTTATTCCTAAGTTGGTGAGAGTTCTGTCACATTTTAAACCAGGCAGTATAAAAGTTGAATTTGGTGTAGGTTAGTGTCATTGAATTGTGGTGATTTACATTTTAAAATTGAAAGCTTCTACAACTAAAAAATTCTGAAAGTGAATGTGGCTGGCTTTCTCAATTGGTTGTGATGCCTTTCTTTTTCTTGGTTTGACATGGATTTCTTGGGGTGAGCAACAACAAGAAATAGTTGATCTATTTTCGTTGGGTAAAAAGTTCGACACTGATTGCAGTTGTTTCCCTTCTTGTTTAACATAACTTAGAAAAGTTGGCGGTGCTCATCTAGTTGGCAAAGTCCCGATACATTGAAGCATTTTGTGTCGATCTAAATGGGAGAGCACTTTTTCATGTCATCTTGATTCTTGACTGATTGAATTTTGTTAAAGTTGAATCGGCTGTTCATTTCCCTCAAGAAGCAAACTACATTGCTCAAACGTGCTTAACTTTTGACAAGTTCCACATGCTTTTAAAAGTTTTTCTAAATCAATGAAGACGTTTGCCTTTTCCAAAGTTTGATGTGCATAAATGGATTGTCCAGTCTGGCTTTTTGTGCCTTATTACTGTCAAGGGTGAAGTTATGAAGAAATCCTGTAATAAAAAGCCTTTTTTGGAGCATTTCACCCTTAAAAGGACATCCCAGTGTATCCCTTCATTTGATGCTTGCTTCCAGTATTCTAAGAAGTCTAATCTCCTCTGGTATTGACTGCAGGCGAATTTCTTAAAATCTGCGGTTGAAGAAGAATCCAAGGTCATTAGGAAGGAAGCTAGAAATGCTCTGGTGGAACTTTCTAAGAATGAATACTATAGAATCCTTGTCATGGAGGAAGGTCTAGTTCCTGTGCCATTAATCGGCACAGCTGCATATAGATCCTTTACTCCATCTTTGCATTCATGGCCACGTTTACCTGATGGTTCAAACATTGAACGTACTTCTAAAGGTCCTTCAAGGTTTGGTGCTTCTGAATTGCTCCTAGGATTAAATATTGATAACAAGAATGCAAAACTTGAGGAAGCTAAGATGAACGCAATAATTGGACGATCTAAGCAACAATTTCTTGCTCGTACTGGAGCTATAGAAGTCGAAGACACAAAATTATCTCAAAGTGAATTATCTAAAAATAGGCAATTTACACTCTTGCCATGGATGGATGGTGTGGCAAGATTGGTTTTAATTCTTGAACTTGAAGATGAGTCAGCCATTTGCAGAGCTGCAGAGTCAATTGCTGATGCATCTATCAATGAACATTTGCGAAATTCATTTAAGGAAGCTGGAGCGGTCAAGAATTTAATTCAGCTCTTGGACCATAACAATAATGCCATCAGATTTGCTGCTGTTGGCACTTTGGAGAGGTTATCTATCAGGTGCTGTCATTAGCTCCCTTGTTTTGAATCTGTCTTCGCATCCCAGATAACATTGGAAACTAACATTTTTATTCTCTGCCAATGCTGTCACTCCATATGAATTACGAGGTCAAAGGTCAGACAATTGGCAAGGTCAATATCTAGATGGATTTGACATTATCATCATGTTTTAGTTATACTAATTCTTACTTTTTGGTGCTAGATAAAATAAATAGAAAGATTATGGGCAAATTAAACATTTGATAAAGTCTGAAACTATGTCAGGGAGAATATGGCAGTGCCTTTTCGTGAAAAACCAAACGGTTGAAAGATTCTTTGAACCATCCGTTTGAGCTTTTAATATATGCTAGTAGCATCCCTAATCACTTGGTTGGATTGCAAGTATACTAGGGTTTTCTGCCTTTTTAAGTCAATGAAAAGAGTTATTTTCACTTTACTAATAGGACCGATAACTGGTGAGACTCTGTTGAACTATGTTTGTCAGCAGTTTGGCAATTTGATGTCAAAACAGAGACTAAACAGGGTTGCTAAAGAAACCTAGTGTTAAGATTAGTTCAGTCTGAACAACATGGTTATCTGGTCTAGTCTGGGTTTAAGATGCCTGCCTTTTAAAGGGATAACTACCTACTGAAAGCATCAGTAGGTCAGAACAAAATGGGTGGAAGTAACTTCTGTTAACTGTGAATCCTCAATTTCATGTTTGAATTTTATTTCTTTTTTTCCTTATCTTACCTTTTAAGTTGTTGTTGTCTTCTCGGTGTATGCAATTTCTCATTAGTTTTTTTTTATATGCATCTTTTTTGATTCAGCAATGTGGTTTGTCAGACAATTGAAGCTGAAGGTGTTATTGCTTCCTTGATTAACGTCTTAAAGAACTCAGAGATGTCTGAAAGCATGATGGAAAAGGTAGTTATATATTGTAATTTTATACACTGCCCCCAAATTTCTTGTACAGTATGATTTGCTTATTGAGGTTGTGAAAAATGCTGTAATGCAGGCATTGAATTTACTGGCTCGAATCTTAGACCCTAATAGAGAAATGAAATCAAAGGTCAGTTGCCTGCTTCTTGCGACATATCGTGAAAGTTTACATTTCTCCATAGGCTTACCAGGTTTTCTAATGTATTGCAGTTTTATGGTGGACCAGTTAATGGATTTAAAAAAGAATTTGATGCAGCAAGAGGCGATGATTCTTCTACTGGATTAAGTAGAAAAGTTGATGAAATGCCAAATTCAAAAACAAATACCAGGTAATCCTTTTCCTTCCTTTCCTTTCCTTTCCTTTCTTTGTTTTGTTTAATGTTCTGCCCAAAATCAGATTTGTCTTTTCTTCATCATTCATTGTTTGCTTGTCTTTACAAAAACATAGTTCGTTGCTGTAGAGTACTCAAAGTTGTAACGGTTGTCAATTTTGGTGGAAGTGGCATGCAAATTGCAAGTTTGTCTCCATTACTCATTGTTATATATATATAAACTGAAAATAGGATTTTGATTTCTGTGAATTGATCTATAATTTATGCATTTGTTTAGCCAAGTGAAGCGATCTATCATGTGATTAACTACATGCATGACTAATCAGCATATTGACAATTGTGTTGACCTTCACATCTTGCAGACTAGATGTGTTGGACTTCGATGTTGTTGCTCGCCTAGTTGATCTTCTAAAGCACCCATCCCCAGAGTTACAAAGAAAAGCAGCTTCTGTCCTTGAGTTTGTGGCAATTAGTGACTTAAGCATGGACACAATCATCTCGGCGAACATCGAATCTGGTCTGCTTGCTATCTTCCAACAAATAGATTTAAATGGTACGTGTGATGATTGTCTCGACAATACAAATGAAGTTATATTGAAATATGTTTTTGCTTAAACATTGGTTGAAACTTCGCAAGATATTATTACTGAATTTAACATCTTTTGGCTGTTGGTGTCTTGCTTTGATTTTCCTACTTTCATCCACCAGGAAAAAACTCTATACGACCTATGCAACTTTGCATTAGTGATTCTTGATTAATATCATTCTTGTTGTGTTCTGTTGATTTTAGAGTTTCATAAATATTAGCAATTTTTAATTTTTTTTTTGAGAATTAGCTTCAATTTGCTTAAGTAGCTAGTGGCTACATATGCATGCAAATGCCCTACTTTTCACAAATTATAGCTTTAGGCAGAAATGAGCCATTGAAAATAATGTTTCTTATCAATGTAAAAGTATATCAACTTGGATGTACCTTCAGAGTTTCTTTCTTTCTGTTTTTTTCCTCAATAATTTTAGAAGTATTCCAAATTTGTCTGAACCTTGCCAATTTTGGCTGCATGGGGGAGTTTACAAAACGATCTTGATTTCTTTAGTAACAAAAAATGTGTTTAATCGAAACGCTGAACTATATTGACGAATTTTGATTGTTATGAATCACAATTCGTGTTTTATTTTGTTGTGTGCTGTGTAATCTCATATTGATTGGACTGTTTCGGATGGTTGTCATGTTTCTGTGATTTTATTTTTGGCAGAATTGGAAACTGAACAGACACAAATACGTGCCATTCAAGTTGAAGAAGCTGGTCTTGCTATATCTGCAGCTTCTCGGTTACTCACGAAACTTCTTGATTTTGAGCAGTTTCGGCGCACGATAAACTCTGCTCATTTCACTAAGTTGCTCCGTCAGATCCTGAAATCGATCATTCCTCTTCAGCACAAAGATTGGGTTGCTGCTTGCCTTGTTAAACTCAGCTCCTTGTTTGGTCCTACTCCCGTCCTAGAATTTGAGAATCCAATCAACATGGAAGTTACCCTTTACGAGAAGATACCAAGACTAATAGAGCAAATCAGATCCTCTTTCTCTCTAGAAGCACAAGAAGCTGCAGTTGTAGAACTCAACGGGATAATCTCTGAGGGAATGGTAGATGCCACTCGATCTGTTGCTTCTGATGGTGGAATATTTCCATTGGTGAAGCTACTAGATGGAGGAAGTGAGAGGGCTGTCGAAGCAGCCTTATCGATACTATATAATCTGAGCATGGACAATGAAAATCATGCCGCAATTATAGCTGCTGGGGCAGTGCCAGCTTTGAGGAGAATTATTCTTTCAGAAAGGTCACAATGGAAGCGAGCTTTGCGTTTGCTGAGGAATTTACCTACATGATTAGACAAAAATCCGAATTCCATAGCTAGCTGGATCCAGTTTTAAAGAATTGTACGTATATATGAATGTTAATAAAATTTTATCCCCTTCGTAGAATCTCCTACGAAATTTATGAATCTACAAAGATGAGATTTCTTCAATGGTTCTTGTTAAGCTTTGGTGATTTCATGCCTTTATTCGTAGTACAGACCCATTATAACCTTATCATGCCTGGCCTGCCATGATTTTGCAGCTCTTGTACTTCAGCCTTTTTTGTTTCTGTCCGGAGAAGATATATTTGCCTACGGAAAGATATTTCCATTGTAGCGAAAAAAGAAAAAGATATCCCCACGGCCCTGCCAGAACCAATAAGGACCTATTATTAAAGTTTAACTAACTAAATAAATAAAAACAAATAATAAGAGAAACAAACAAAGTAAGTTTCAGGGTGAATATGATTTATAATATACATAAATTACTATATATGTATATTTGATGACTGATGAAATTACTAAATATATTAAAGAAACGCGAGTATTGAGTATGACATAAAAAAATAACTAGAAATTTAATTTAGAAATTTTTGTTTATCTCTAAAAGAAAAACCAGAAAACAGGGTCAGAGACATAAGAGGAACAAACAGAGACACGGACTCCATGGGCATCGCTTGCTTATCTTTCCACTCCATAACCAAAACACTTGTAGTATCTGCTTCAATTCCCACCAATACCAACTCTCCTTCTCCGCAATCCAACACTGATCCTAAGCCTCCTCCAGTACCAGTTCCAGTTCCCACAAAAACAGCAAGTACCGGACCCAAAAGCACCACTACTCTGCCACTACCAAGAAAGAAAAGAGTCCAAAACAGACTACAACAACAGCTCAATCTTATGCACATTGAACGAGTCATTGGTGCTGGCAGTTATCGTGACTACGAGAAGCCCATGTATGTCTCCTTCTCAACAGTACTGTCTCTTCTACTTACTTTCTTCTTTCTATGGATGATATATATATATATATATATATATATATATATATATATATATATTGATGGATTTGCCTTTCGTGTTTCCATTTCTTTTTTTTTTCTTTTTTAATGGTAATAAGTGACCAAGATAAGAAGAAGAAGGAGAAGAAGTCGGGATTTATGGAGGAGGGACCAGTGGAGAAGAAGCTTAGAGAGACTGGAGAGTGGGTTATCACCAAAACTGATGGAGAATTTCGTTCCAATGGTACTTCTTTATTTCTTGTTAAATTTAATTTTCTTTTTTAATATTTTTAAGGTCTAAGAAATGAGGAAACCTTATCCTTTTATGAGTTCTCTATATGCGATTCTTGATTAAGGGAACCTGGGGTTTCAACATTTTAAAGCAAAAAGAGAGATAGAATTTGGTATTGTTCAGATGAAAAATTAGAAGAAATTCATGTGTTTGCAGATGGAGAGAGGGTTGGATAGTTGTTTTCCTTTTCAATCTGTTTTATCTGGAATGGAACCAATTGGCCGTCCTATTGTTTCATGTCATTGAAATCAATTAACTCTTATTTCAGAATTTGTGAGTTCCATAGCAAACGAAATATTTTTAAGTTGAGATAAACTGTTCTTTCTTTTTCATGTGATCTTGCAGCATATGACAGTTTGCATGGGAAACAAAACCGTATTGTGTGTGTGAGTTTTTTTTTCTCTCTCTCAAGTTCACTAGAAGCCAACAGTCTGCCTTCTATTTGCTGCTGAATCGAAAAGTTATAACGTGATTGGCCTGATGCTGGTTTGTGTCATTCTCTTGCAGGTAAAAGAATTTTAATGTTCTCTTTTCAGTGGGCTATACCAGTTTATATTTTTATGGTCTTGGTGGCTTCTGGAGTTATAAAGCTACCTTTCAGCTCGCCATTTCTTGATGATCTGCTCATGTAAAAATATCAGTTAGAGATAATAATGCTAGCTGTGTTAGTTCGAGAATGTTACCCTATTTGTACAAAAACCCTCCAACTTATTTGAAGGGCCAAAAAAGCTACCCTGCAGGTAAGCTGGTGCATTGAGCAATTAAAATTCCATTATGACTAGAATGAGCTTGAACAGGTGAATTGTGTTTGCTGCATATTTGTGGCAAGCTGGAAGAAACCAGGGATTTGCGTCTACTGCTTGGTCTTAATTTATCTTGTATTTCCTGTCATCAAAACATGTAAGATATCAGTATGTGGGTAGTAATATATATATTGAAATTGCAACATCTGTTTACCGTATAAGGGAAAACACTCTTGGCTCTCCAAGTCCTAGGTTTCTTAGAAACAAAATGCTTGTTGGGGAAGAATAGCTGGTCCGCTCGGATCTGGTACATTAAGAAGTGTGTGATGGCTAGCTGGCAGCTTTACATAGGATTCCCAAAATTCGTTTTTAAATTTTATCACGAATTATATCTCTTTTGACAGTTGTATATGGCTCAACTTGATCATAATTGTGATTCTTGTTGCATCTGCCGGACGAAAAAAGATGCCATGATTAGCTGTAGCCTTATAGCAGTGGAAGAAAATTATTAATATTAACATCATCATCGTCATTATTGATTTTGTTTATGAAGAAAAATAATTAAGTCTACAATTGAGAAATCGATTATTTAGTGATTAGAAAAATGCTGGCTTGTATATTAAGATCCTCAACTTGATTGAAATTTACTTACAAAGATCTTTAAGCCAATATGTATAAAAGGTAATTGCTTTTTTTTTTTTTTTTTTATTTCGACTGTAAAAATATCTTCGAGTCAGGTTACACGTTAACAAAGACTAAGTTCCTTCCCAAGCGATCTTAAAAGCATATCCCCTACATCTGTCTGATGCATTCTATGTGTATATATATATATATGTATCAACAAGTAGAATAGAAGCTCTGGCAACATAACTAGAGAGAACAACAAGAAGCTCTGGAGGAGGTTGATGCCAAATATGAAGAAAAATATCATTCGTTGAATATACCATAGTAATTGGAGAAAAGTATCATCTGTTGAACACAGGGATCTTTTAGTCGATATGTATTATATTTTCCTTAAAGTTTCTTTAAAGGTTTAAGGGATCCTTCTATTATTTTATTTATCTTAATCGTATCTCTTTATTAAATTTTTCAATAATTGCAGTCTCTTTACTCTTAATTTATGTCTGAATTTCCTTTCGTCTTTCGGGCAATGATGACAATTTTTGACTTAAGACTAACAGAATGCAAACACGTAGTATTAAATTTTTCAAAAAAAAAAAATTCCAAAATTATTCTCTTTTTCTTTACTTTTATGTCTAGAAATAAATAATTAATTTCACACCTCAATTTTTTTTTTTTTTGCTTTCTCTCGGATTCAAATAAAAAAAGATAATTTTTTTATGGATAGGAAAGAATAGAAGCAATTTTTTTTTCAAAAATTTACTATGAAAATTTATTTCAAATCCAAAAAAAAAAAAAATTCATAATAAATTTCTGAAATACAAAAAAAAAAAAAAATTGCTTCTATTTCTTCCTATATATATATATATATATATATATATATTTTTTTTTTTTTTTTTTTTTTCACTGTCCATTAACTCCCCTTTTGAAACAATCTCACCATCACGAGATAGGGGAGGAACCTGATGGCTACTATGATCTGAATTAGAAGGAATCCATCCCTTAGCCTGAATCAAGTCCACATACAACTCTTGGGGTTGTGATGATCAAGTCGAGAGTGATTCACGATTGTGGTCTGCAACATAATATTTTCTTCTTTTTTTGGCTATGAGCAAGATAGAAGAATCCTGAACATGATTTATAATCAAGATATCACCGATACAACTCTTGGCATTCCTTCGTCTAGTTACGTGAATTTTTGGCCTACTAAGCTGTTTCCCTTTGGAAGAATTCATGGCCTTGCTAATATTAGGCTTATCTACGTACATTAGTAGTGTTCTCAGTTACTTCGCCCTCATTTACCTTAACAACAGAACTTGCATCCATGGTTTTTGACTCGGGATTAGGTTGTGATCCCGGACCACAGGCTGGACCTTCAACGAACACAAGATCACTTAATGATGGAGTCATGGCCTTATGAAGCAAATTATCTTCGATGTTACGATCCAGCATTGTAGCAAATCTGGTTCTGCTATCATTTTACATCGTGATCTTTTCTCAACAACCATCCATTGTCTAAATCCAAGATCTACTCCCGATTTCACATTGTTTTCTATATTTACAGTAGTTTCCTTATCCGTGCTTTCATCTTCTTCTCCATGAACACAATCCTCTAGAGGAGCCAAGGTTACAGAAGGATAAAAAAGAAGTATATTCGGAATCCTTATATCCATATCTCTCACATTTAAAACAAATAGTACAGAGGTCTTTATAGGCTATATTGTAGATCCTACCGTACAATTCAATCTCAACACAAATTCTTACAAATTTTCCTTAGTTGGCTAGGGTGGTGTTTTTACCAATTTTGACAAGAACACCAATACCAAAAAGATAAAATCATTTAGAGATTCTCAACATAATATTATACAGAAATATCTGGAATTTTGACTTAAAATCATGATTCAATCAACTGCAAATCTAAAAAAGCTATAAAGTAAGGATGAATCATCCTTAGTCCATCTCCAATGGTCCTTTCAAAATCATCTCTCTCATAAAATTTACCAAAAAATAATTGACGTATTAAATCAAGGATGTCAAACCACTAGTGAGTTTTTAGACAATTCAATTTAACAATAACTGATTGATGTGATGGCAACTCTAAGATTTTAAGAAAGTGAGGGTCTAGTAAAACTAGAGAATAGCGGATTGTTATCTCGAAAAATATTTCTTTACAACATCTGCATAATCTTTTTCTTTCTACTTCTCAGGAGCTATAAATTTATCTAAAAAAGAGGGCTTGTGTGAGAGTTTGTATTTGCCCGAGACGTTTGCCAGAACTATTGGTCAAAGGGCGGGCGTGGATCATTAGGAGGATGATTTGAAAGTCTGGTTTTCTTGGTGGATATATAGGTTATTGGCTGAAACATACTCTCCAGTTTGAGAGAACACCATTAGGGTTTCTATTTTTTTTCCTGAAGTATTTAATAAAAAGTATTTACTATTGATATTTTAGGATATGAACTAAAGAAAAAATTCATATCCCAATATACAAAGAAAACGAGACAAAAAAAAAAAAAAAAAAAAAAAAAAAACAACTAAAAAGATAGAAGAACTATCAAGATATTTATTTTTTGACACGTGTCATTATTATTTGAAGTGACATTTTTTGTCGATCGACCAGAATCTTATTAGAAGAGTTATATTAAAAAAAATATATAGAATAAAAAACTAAATAAATAAAGCTAAAAATAATAGAAAAATTATATTAAGAAAATGATAAAAATACAGAGACATATATATGCCATTGATACTGTTAGTAAACAAAAAACAACACTTAAACTTGCTTTAAACATTACTAATACTTTGGCTGATAAAAAAGGTGGGGGGAAGAAGATAGAAACAAGGTTTCATTTATTCCAAGAAAACGTATTATTTACTGATATTTCTGAATAATGAATGTGAATTATTTGTTGCAAGAAAACAATGTTCATTCTCTTATTAATTTTGCTATAGCCATGTTCTCTCAACAAAGGAAAACTATCAAAATTGTTTTCGCAAAGTGATTTTATGATATGATACGGGGATGAAAAATCTTTGAAAAGCAGCGTAGAAAGCAAAATTTTAGCCCGAAATCACATACGACAACACATTTATTAGATTATCTGCACTTAAAAAAAAAAATTCCTTTGCTGATCCTCAAGAAAAATGAGATGTGCTTTCTGTACAGATTTGAAGTCATTGTAGCATGGTGATTTTATTTTCATCCTTGAAAATCAAGCCTATAAAAAGTATTCATTTATAATTATTTTTTAGTGTTATAACACCTTCAATGGTAGAAACAGAGTCTCCTTAATTTGCTTAAACAACGATTGCTTTAAATGGAGGATATGAACAAATACCGCCCATTAAAGACTTGACCAGTTGACCCATTAATTTGCCTTTTTGCACTTTTTTTTTTTTCCGGGTCAAATAATGATGGTTGCTTTTAGCGGAGGACAAGGATCCATACCATGACCTACACAGATTTAAAACCCAAAATCGCCCATTTACTTTTTTTTTTTCCTTCTCTCCAAAATGGGGTCGACTACGAAACAAAACAGATAAATAACTCAAAATTTTGGAAATTAAGTTGAATGGTATAAATAAAATTATATATATATATATATATATATATATATATATATATATATATATATATATATATATATTTTTTGTCAGGATTGGAATTGGACACCTCATGCTTCTAAAACTGGAGTTTTTTTCTTTTCTTTTTTCTAGAATCAAAAGGGGAGATTGGTCCAAGAAAATTAAACTATAATTTCACGGACCTACTATACTGTTATTTTCTAGAGTTAGGCGGTGCTCACTCTTTTCTTTAATTACAATGTGGTTGACTGAAAGAAGAGGGTACATGCAGATAAATAATGATATAATGTCATCAAGTCAAACTACTCAACAGCCCGTCTTCGTATAATAAATACATATATTCACGGTTATTAACATTATCTTTTTATTAGTACCGTTCAAGGATTCAAATTATCGAATCGTATGATTGAAATTAACATAAAATCGTAATTTTAAAATAATATACGATACAAAATAACAGTACACATATTTTTACAATATTTGACTTCTTTTTATTTATGTCTTTGCCATGCTCTGATCTAGTGTTGAACCTATGCTTGGAAGAAATTTTGCTTGCGTGTTTGTCAAGTTGTCTAAATCCGATGCCATTATACGGATAACATTGCTGTAGAAAGAAGAAGGGAGAGAGAGAGAGGTCGATAGAGAGTGAGGTTTTGATATGGTTATTTCAGTTACAGATTATTAAATATTTTTATTTACTGTAACGTAACAAGTTATCTTATTATTAAGTAATTTAATTAATTATTATGCAATTATGTTTGCTACTAATATTATTATATAATTATAATTTAAAAGATATATTATTTCTTTTGAAATAAAAATAAATATTATTCATTTCTTAACAAGTGAGAATTTTAATGGATATTTTTTATTTTTATAATTTAATTAATTACTCTGTAATTATAATCGTTACGAACAATCAAGTCAAATTTCAATATAAAAAAATGTTTCTTATTACTTTAGAGAAGAAAAAAATTACTATTTAACTTATAAAAAAAACTATTTATAAGTGATTAAAAACTAATAAGTATTTATAATTGTTATATATAAAATATTATTGCAACTTGAGATGAAATCTGATAGCTTTGCAGAGGCTATTTTCTTCTCAGAGGCATTAAAGTACATGTTGAAAGTTTCACATGAACATGAAATCAGTAGCTGAAATTCAATCAATCGCTATTGAAGAGCGTGATTATCTCTTAATTACTTGAGATGGCTGGTGATCGTGGATGCCCGTCAAGTATCAAGATCTAGTCGGCGACCGGAGACAAGAATTTGGGACACAGAAGTTGGTTCAAAGAGAGACACGATACATTGGATTTTGGAAGAGTTTTTTTTTTTTTGGTCCTTTTTTTCGTAAAAAAATGTTGTCGTGCTTCATTTTTTATTTCAACTTACCTGCGTAAAACCGCCCAATCGTATGAAAACAGGCCAATATCCATAGTGCAACCTAAAAATCGCATAAATTCGGAATTTTATCGATTTTAGCTATTCGCGATTTCACTAGAATTCCACCGAAATATGATTTGTAATAAGAATTAGATGAGTATCAAAATTGTAATATTTTACAATTAGAAATGCTATTAATTTTAATAACCTGAGGATTTTCTTTTCTGGAAATTTATTCTTCTTATTTATTCTTTATTTTAATATTTATCCTATTAATTATAGAATAGCCCACGTTTGCGTAAAAATAATGGCATAGATGGGAAAAATCAAGAAAGAAAATAAGTGTTTTTAAATCGATTGTCAGTCTGAAGTGATTTTTTTTCTCGTGGCCTCTTTTTTCTAATAATGGAGCCATTTTCTTCTATCTTTAATTTGCTTTTGCATACAAAGGTACTTTACTCCTTAAAAAGTTTTCTTCCTCTATGTTTTCTTTTTGATACAGGTTTTCTTCTTTTAATTACTGTACAAAATGAAAAAAAGGAGTTTCGTTGCTCGTGCTTCTTTTATTGGAAGAGTTTTCAGCGATTTGCTATTCTTTTTTTTTTCCCCCTTCATATCACGTGAAATTAAAGATTGGATTGATCTCAGTTATGATTATTATTTTTGTTGTTGTTATTGTTTTACCAGGTTAACCACTTGGAAAACGATCAATCTTATCCATCCATTAATTTGATCCTTTCCTTTAAGCTTCGCTAAGAGAAAGAGGAGACAGTCGATCGAGGAAAGAGAGAAATTCTATGGGCACACTGCTATCAACAATGAAACTCTCTATTCCCATGTCACCGAATCTAAAATCCTTTACCCTGCCCCTTGAGTCCTTCACCGTAGTTCATGATTGTTTCAAAAAAAAAAAAAAAAAAAAGGGATAATTATTAGAAAACATTTTTTAAAAAAATCTTTTATCAAAATAATTCATTAATTTATTTTTAATAAACTCAGACACAAAATAATATATTTTTTATCAATACACACAATAAAGAATAAATAGCCCCTAAGTTTAACACCAATTAATTATTAGATATTTTGAATAAAAAAATATTATTTTAGATTTGAAATATTTAAAAATAAATTGATAGGTTTTTTAAGACAAAAATTGTTTTTAAAGGGTTTTCTCATAATTATTACTAATTTAAATGAAACTATTATCTTTTAATGTATATGTTTCTATCTTGAATTCTAATGTTTTATTAAATTAATACACCATAATATTTTATATAATTATCATATAATTTAATTTAGTTATGTGATAAAAATTGTTAAGCTTTTATTAATTGAAAACTAATACTACTAATGCTGTTTTTTTTTCTATCAATATATTAGAATTTAGTAGATCATGCATTAATGGTTCATAATCATAGGTATTTTTTATTTTCATATTTGTATGATATTCTTTTGATTAAATTACAAGATGATAGTAAAAGTCTCATTTTTCAATATTAATTATTTTAATTGCATCTGTTGCTATAGTTATTAGGTACTAAAACAAATTCCTTAGTTGATGAAACATATTGTCCATAGAAAGAAATGAAAATTCTTACAAAAAAAATATATTTTTTTTTAGTGTAATAAGAAAATAATAGCCCAAAGTGCATGTCTCAACAGTTGAAAAATATCAAAAACTTTTTTTTTCCTAGTTCAATCGGTAAGAACTTGAATTCGATAATGATTAAAAAAAATGTCAAAACTCATCAAAAACTATGAAATGAGATTATTATTAAATAATTACTAGAAAACCTCTAAAAATTTTTGTATGTAAAATGTCTATCAATTTATTTTTAAATATCTCAAATTCAAAATAATATATTTTTTATCGAATACTCAATAGTTAACTAGTGTAAAATAGTATTTAGTTATTGAATGTTTTGGTAAAAAAAATATGGTTTTAAATTTGAGAGATTTAAATATAAATTAGTGGGTTTTTTTAGATCCAATAATTTTTTAGAATGATTTTCAAATAATTATCCCAAGTATTTAATATTCTAAAGTATACTAATTAATCATTTTCTTTTTCTTTTTAAAAAAAAGTACTCGAAAGCTGCGAGCTTGAGTGAAACACCTCAAATAGTCCTCCCAAATCTTTACAACACTCGACGTAGTGCTCGAGTGCAAAGTTCTTTTCAAATACGTCTTTACTCTTCCGGTTCAAATACATTTGCCAAAAACTCCCTGTAGTGTAGTCCAACGTTTACCTTGGACCATCTCTTAGTTTATGCTCATTTTTATCCGATTATGTACTCACTTCAAAGTTTACCTTCGATCTTCTACATCTCTCAAAACTACAATTCCTTATTCTTTTGAATTAGCTAAACACATCAAATCATTATTGCTTAATTTTATTATTGTCTATATAAATTTATAATTAAATTCTTAATTTTCAAAATTATGTCAATACATAATAATAAAAAACTTGAATTTTCAAGCAAAAACCAATGAGGAGAGACTTATCAATTCCAATGTCTATTATTTGAGCACTCCTCCAAAGTCTTCCTGCAATAACTAGCTGTGGTACAGTATTGATGGGGGTAATTTTGTAAATAATTAAATAAGTGATTTATCGGGGGGGGGGGGGGGGGGGGGGGGGAGGAACTAAGCAGGCCTTTGCATCCTTTCACCAAGTTTTTGACCTACTTTGACATTTCGGCACTTAGGTAAAAAAACGCGTTGGTTTTTCAAGTTTTTGCAAAGTTATATATAATCCCTGATTAGAGAATAGTTTTAGATAAGTCTCTTTTCTGGTTTATTTCAATCTATTTCTAAATCATGTTGATTAATATCCCTATATGTAAAATATTTACAACCAAATTTTTATTTTAAAATTTTTCTGCATCCTTTTAAATACCTAAAATACATGATTGGCAACTTTTTCAAAAACATAAAAAAAAAAAAAAACAGTCTAAACTTTTAATGTGTCCGTATTTTGATTAACTTAGATAATTAGTTACTTATCGAAACCATTTACATATAAAAATTCAATCTCACTTCAAAAAAAAAAAAAAAAATTAAAATCTTACTTTTATTTTAACATTTAACTATTTAAATTTATAAACATGTCTAGATGGTTCAAATGCATGATTTCTAATTTTAAAATTATTTTCATGATAATAAAAAAATAAAAAATAAAAAACACACATTTTATATAGGAATACTGCTGACTTATCTTAAAACTTCATTTAATTATTAGTGTAAATTTGTAAGTTGTAAAATCCAAATCCTATGAGTAATAAATAATTTCACTCTGATGGATGTTTTTTTTTTTTTTTACTAGTGAACATATTCTTTGAGCCATTTCTGTAAAACTCATATTTTTAATCGAACCATCGAAGGAACTTGATCGAGAATTTTCAAACTTTAGGTACCTAACTGTGGAAAAGTTTTTTTACAGAACAGTGATGACGGTGCACCGGAATATGGGGCCGCCAAAAGCCAACCAGCCACAGGTTGAATATTTAGTTTAGTTCGACCCGAAATATTTTATTACTAATAAATAATTTCTTAAAACCCCGAAAAAAAGAAGAAATTATACTTAAAAAAAAAAAAAAAAACCCAACGCATTCCTTCGTCCTACAGTGCAGAGTCTTCTTTTCCTTTCTCTCTCCAATCTCTCTTTGATCAATTCCACCCACAAATTCTCTCTCTTCCCTTCCAGAGAAAAATAACAGAGAGAGAAATAAGGCATAACCACCACGTCTCAATATCATTGCTAGATTGGATACAGAGAGAGAAGGCGATCTGATCGGTCTCTGGTTTTTATTTTTTAATCTAAGTAAAAAGAAAAAAAAATGGGCACACTTCAGACATGGCGAAAAGCCTATGGCGCTCTCAAAGATTCCACCAAAGTCGGTCTTGCTCATGTCAATAGCGATTATGCGGTCCGTCTCTTATTCCTTTTTATTCTAAATCAAATCTCTCTTTCTCTATTTTTAGATGGATGGATAGATTTTCATTTTTTATTTATTTAGGATTTGGATGTGGCCATAGTCAAAGCAACTAATCACGTCGAGGTTCCTCCAAAAGAGCGCCATCTTACAAGTCAGCACTACTCTTCTTCTTCTTCTTCTTCATTTTTCCCGTTTTCTCTTCAATTCTAATTTAATGGGCTCGTCAGATTTTGGGTTTTTTTAGAGAATTAATTGTTTGATGATTTGCTTGTTACAGAAATTTTGGTTTCCACGTCAGCGATTCGCCCTCGAGCTGATGTTGCTTATTGCATTCATGCTCTTTCCCGCCGATTGGCCAAAACCCATAATTGGACGGTATGGATTTCGATTTAATTCATCCATTGATTTGATTTTGTTCTTTTCTTTTTGTGAAATTCTAAGATGTTTCAAATTCGAAATGAATTGGGGTTTGATCAATATGTGTTTTTGTCGATCCAATGCAACACCGTTTTTTTGCTCGTGGAGTTGTTTAAGTTACTTTTTTTTTTTTTTAGTTTTAAGTCTTTTATATATGCTGTTGTTCTTCGTAGGTACTGTGATTTACACAGGGTAATCGACTCTGCCATTCGTAAGACTTTTTAGTTAGTTATTTTACTGTATCAGCTTGATTTGATGTTTTCAGCTCTATAGCACTGAACTATCTATAGGAGTTTGCTATTTATTTATTTGATGTTGAAATGCTGTTGCAAAGTTCAATTTTTGTTCGATGTGGTTCATATATTGCCTGCGGATATATTACACCTTTATTTGAGTACTTTCTGTGAAATAATTGGAAATGGCTGTTTAATTTTTGTCGTTACTTTTTTTTTTTTTTTTTCTCTGGTGAAGATGCTTATATCATGGTTTTTACTCCTGCATTTTTAACAGGTAGCTTTGAAAATACTGATTGTGATCCATAGATTATTAAGAGAGGGTGATCCTACTTTCAGAGAAGAACTTCTGAATTTCTCTCAGAGAGGGCGCATCCTCCAACTTTCTAATTTCAAGGATGATTCAAGTCCTATTGGTAATTTCATACTGCTTTCTCTCTCTCACTTTTTCGGGTCACAAGTATGTGGCCTCTAACTGCTCTTCATGAGCCGAGTACCTTTTTTAGCTCTATATTTTTCATAATATTTCTTCTTCTTCAGCATGGGATTGCTCTGCTTGGGTGCGTACATATGCACTTTTTTTGGAGGAACGGCTTGAATGCTTTAGAATTCTGAAGTATGACATTGAAGCAGAGCGTCTTCCAAGGCCTGTCCAAGGGCAGGATAAGGTATGTTCCTGGAATTAGCAATTCTGCTCTTTATAATAAAAAGAGGAAATATCAGGACATAGAAGGCAGCAAGATTCTCTAGTTAATGAAAAATAGCATCATCTGTCAATTTTTTTCTCTTTCCCTATTCAGCAGCTTTTATTATTGTTATTATTGTTATTGTTACTTTAAAAAGAGTTGCAATCTCATTAAATTGCATGCGCAATTGGAAAGGCCATACTCTTTCTTCTTCTTGGCTCTCTCTCTCTCTCTCTCTCAGGAAAAAAAAAATGGAACAAAGAATGACTAATTTTGTGCACTTATGCTGCAAAGATAGAGCTTATTGTAATTTTTCCTCGGTAGTTGTTGTATTTGTTGATTTCACCATGAGCTTTTACTCTCACCTTTCTACTCTTAAAGCTGCAAAGAACACGTGTTCTTGTTTCAATGAGACAAGTTCATGATAAAAAATGTACTGCCAGTAGCAAAATACTATTTTGGCTCTTTTGATGAAAATTAATAGTATGTTTCAAGATCCTCGAAAAAGTTACCATGTCCCTCAAAGCACTACAGTAATAGGAGATTCCTTATGAAATGTCAATCACTACTACATGGACTGATCATATGGTTGGATGCCCACATAGCTTTTTTTCCTCTGAGTGTGCAAATGGTTTCTTTTACCTAGAACCTTCCACAATTTTGGCTTTTACTGTGACATAACATGTGGTGATTTGCATTGAAATTTGGACTAAGTTCTGTCTAGAGGTTAACTGGTGCTACTTTCACCTCCCAATGCAGCATGACATAGCATAACATAGCACAGTACAACAATACCAAACAGGCCCTAATGCTGCTAATTGACAAGTCTTATTAAATACATAATTATGAGAAAATAAAAGAGGCACTCTGTCTGCAATTTCAGTGTACGAGGTTGTAGAAAGATAAGTTTAGAAAACTTTAACAGAAGAGGTCAGTGGAGGTTTAGGACATGGTTGTCTCGTCCTGTTGAATCTTTTGAATTTCATAAACTTGGGAACACCAGATTTGTGATTCCTTTGGTTGGAAAATAACTCCTGCAAGTTTTTTGTTTAGGAGTCATTTGATGACATGTGAGGGTGCGATTCAGTTAAAAAGCAGTATTGCCTTATGAGGAAGATCAGTTGGACCTTCACAAAGGTTCTATTGTACTTGTCCTATTGGCTTGGTTTCTGATTGAATGACTTACCATTTTTAAAATTGATTGTGATTATATATTATAGCAGCTAGGGAGTTCATAAATGGAAGCTTGTTTTTCTTTTTCTTTTTTCTTTTTTTGTTTGTTATCTTTGTGTTTTTCTTTTAAAATTGATTATGATTATATATTATAGCAGCTTGTTTGCTATTCGCAAGAATATGCAAGCTGAGCAAATTATTAAAAGCTGATGTGGAATCTTGTTGATTTAGTTATTGACTTGTTGAAATATTCGGGTGAGACTGACTTTTATTGATATGTAATGTTACATTTAATTGGTTTTACACAGGGCTACAGCCGAACTAGGGACTTAGACAGTGAAGAACTGTTGGAGCAGTTGCCTGCTTTACAGCAGCTGTTGTATCGTCTTGTTGGTTGTCGGGTATGGAACAACTTCTTTATATCCATTGATAAATTGTTATTTCAACACACTGCAATGTTAAGTAGAACAAAAAAATTGATGTAAATTTCTTTTACAGCCAGAAGGTGCTGCAGTTGGCAATTATGTTATACAGTATGCTCTGGCTCTGGTAAGCCTGCCTCTCTGCTGTAATTCTTGTCTTGCACAAGAATTTTGTTTCTGTATTTGCCATTGTGCTTTTTTTTTGTATATAGAATGTGTTAATATAATTTCCTTTTTTAGGCGTATGAAGTTCACAAGTTATTCTAAAATATCACATAGCTATAAAAGAGGGAAAAAAAAAAAAAACTTACAGAAATTCATTGTAGTTTGATCTGATTCTTCTTGTTCTGCTTTGCCTCTGCACACAAGTCACTGGATTGATTCTTCCCCTCATCTACTTAAGTCCTGCTTTATACACTCCTATTTACGTCCTCGTATTATACTGCAGCAATGCTACAAGAATTTTTAGAACTTTTAATGTCCATGTCCTTTAAGATGCCTGAATGACAAAAGGATAGGTTAAATTATGGAAGATATAGGCTTCCTGTTCATGTATTATGAAGTGGTTGCTTATGCTTCTTGGTACATGCAATTTTCAGGTGTTGAAGGAGACCTTTAAAATATATTGTGCTATTAATGATGGGATCATTAATCTTGTGGATAAGGTAATCCATTGATCTTAGTTTTGATCATTATGCAAGCATTGATTTTGTCTGTTCTTGCTATTTAATCTCTCTCTTTTTTTTTTTTCTTTGCAGTTTTTTGAGATGCCAAGGCATGAAGCTATCAAAGCCCTTGATGTATACAAGCGAGCAGGCCAACAGGTCATGTTTTCTATTGATTTTGTGGAACCTCAGTTTGTGTTTACATTATTTATTCTTTTTGTCAACACCTAAAATTTTCATTAATATATCCTTTATGTTGCAACACTCAGTATAGAACTGAAGTCTCTGCAAATAATTTTTTCGTTTGCTGGAGTTGTGCTGAAAAAAATTATTTATTCCTGCAGGCTGGTAACCTTTCTGATTTCTATGAAGTATGCAAAGGGTTGGAACTTGCTAGGAATTTCCAGTTTCCTGTTTTGAGAGAGGTATTTGATTTAGAGTTTTCACTGGTTTTTAGTTATTTCATTCTTTCAGTTGCATTAATTTATGACTTTATTATCCTAACCCTTTTCAGCCTCCACAATCCTTTCTTACAACCATGGAAGAGTATATAAGAGAGGCACCAAGAGTTGTTTCTGTTCCAAGTGAGCCATTGGTCAGTGCCATTCCTATACAAGAATGTCCAATACATTTTCCAATTTATGATTTGTTCTCATATCAAAAGTCTTTTTGTATATTGTTACTAGTTTCATATTTAAACAGCCATCAGAAGCCCAGGATTTTTGGAAAGTCAATCTGTTGCCTTTTCTTTTGTTAAAACTTCAGGCGGGGTGATGGGTCAAGTTTGATGAGTATGTGGACTAGATTTCAGCCAATCAAGGAAATAGAGGATGTAATGTTGGAAAAGTGGCCTAAGAGATACTAAGGTTTGATCATTTATTGTGCCCAGGACTGATTATCCACAAAGAGCAAGATATTCAATACTATGTTGTACCCAGAATTAAAATTGCAGAATTAGTTGGATGAGTGCCTTTAGATTGCAAGGGATCAGTCCATGCCAGTTATGGTGAAATGGAATTTTGTTGGATTGAAATAGCTGTCACCTACTAGGCCTGCTATTCAGTATGTTTTTTGAATGTTTTTCTGTTAAAGAACATTTCATAAACAAAGTATGGATGAAGAATAAATGCCATGATTAGATGAGTTGCACCTGCTGTAATAGAAAGAAAGGTTTATATTGAAAATATTAGTGAATTGGTGGAATGGATGCCAGTACAAGTAAGATGGGAGAAACTCACTCAATTGTTTTGGTTGTTTGAAGTGGAAACCCAATTACATCGCCCATGACACATGATGCAATTCAGTACGGAAGTCTTATAAGAGCCAAAATAGGGAGGAAATGCAAGGATGTTGCTGCATAAAAGGATTATGGCTGTTGATGCATGGTGCTACATATTCAGTTGTGCTTTATTTTGTCTTTTTTGTGTGATGCATGCATGTTAGCTTATTCTTCCTCGATAAGGATTATCATTGTTAGAGGTTAAATGCTATAGGACTAATATGCGGTCATTTCAAACAGCTTCAATTGACCTACAGACCAGACGAAGGTCCTTCGGAAGATGCCAAATCATCCAGTGATGAACTTGAGCCACCTCCTTCAGGTGATGTTGCTGTCTCCAATTTCGAGGTTGCTCCTCCTGCTCCTACACTCCCTCCTCAGAACAACATAGACACTGGAGATTTGCTGGTAATCTTAGTTGTCAATCAACTTCATGTTGGTTGATGATTTCTGAGAACTGACCCTGTTTCTTCCAATTTTCTTCTTTTAACCCGCCATTCTCCCTTGTTGGTGGTTTTTAGGGATTGAATTACGCAGCTCCTGATGCATCTGCCATTGAGGAAAGCAATGCTCTGGCACTGGCTATAGTTCCATCTGAATCAGGTAAACCAAACTTGCTCTGTCTTTCTTTTTTCTAATCTTTTTCATTTGAGCTACTTCTTTGCCTTCTGGTTGCTTGTTTGCATATGTTTACCTGCGATACACAACTTCTAATCTAACAGATGCTGCACCCACATTCAATTCTGCTTCTGGTCAAGCAAAAGATTTTGATCCTACTGGATGGGAACTTGCCCTGGTCACTACTCCAGGCAGCAATATTTCTGCCACCAATGAGAGGCAATTGGTAGGCCTTGTTTCGTTTCTTTTCTTTTTTTTTCTTTTTTCATTCATTTCCATACACACATATTTTCTATATTTTGTCCATGGTCTTTTCTCTTTGTTGGTTAGCTATCATGAGGATGCATGGTGATATAACTATATTGGTCGACATGCCAGTACTCATGTTGACAATCTTAATGTTGCAACGAACCATTAAAAATTCAGCATTGATGAGGAAAAATGTATTAGGAACGGATAGGGTACACATTGATTGTTTCCTCTGCATGCCCTCTTCTTGCAGTTTCGATTTAGTTTTTCATCATTTAGTTATTGAGGAGACAATGTTATGAGGAGTCTGGAGGCTTTTACATGCTTAATGAGTTGCTTAGGCATGCTGCATGTGTTCCCATGTTGTTTGAGTGTAAACGTGTGTAGATAAATACGTGTGTTCATATTTGCTGGGTTTGTTTTGCATAATGTAATGTGTTTCAGACAAAGATTTGTTTCAAGTCAGCCATCCGTGTAAAATTATCTTAAATGTCTGGGAACTGAATCTCTGAGCCTGAAACCTTCAGGCCTATGCTTGGTATTTTGTTTCAGTTATTAACAATCTCTGTGCATATGATTGAAATTGTTTAAGAATAGCAAGCATATCCACTGGTTATTGTCTTCAACTATCTTGTCATATTTTTTTTTCTTGAGTGTCAGGCTGGTGGCTTGGACTCGCTCACTCTGAACAGTTTATACGACGAGGGAGCATATCGAGCTGCCCAGCAGCCTGTTTATGGAGTGCCAGCCCCTAATCCATTTGAAGTACAAGATCCATTTGCTATGTCAAACAGTATTGTTCCTCCTCCATCAGTCCAAATGGCAATGGCTCAACAGCCGCACAATCCTTTTGGTCCATATCAACCTACCTACCCACAGCCACAGCAGCAACAACATTTGATGAGCCATACAAATCCTTTTGGTGATACAACAGGGTTTGGGGCATTTCCTGCACATCCTGTTACACATCCTCAGACTAATAACCCCTTTGGAAGCACTGGCCTTTTGTGATCATTTGTTTTTGAAGATTTGAGTGTGATCTAGATGGTGCATCTCTTTACATCTATTGGAAATGAGAAAGCAGTGTGGGATAGGCTTACTTGCTCCCACGATAGTGATGGTTTGCGGCATGGATCATAAGTTGGTTTGGGTTGTAAAAGTTAGGTTAGTGAATGTGTATTATGCGACAACTAGTTGATACGGATACTAATGATCTCATAATTAATTTTTGAAATCTCTCTTCTTCTTGTGCATGATTGTAGATTTATTGTAATTGATTATTTTAATTACTTATGTTGAATTCTCAGTAGCTCCAGATAGACTTTTGGCCGTGGCATTTTCCCTTGATTTTGTTATGTTCTATGATACATCAGGTGTTCTGTGCGCCCAAACTTTGTGATGCTGACCACTGAATTAGGACAACAGTAGGAATCGTATGTATAGTTTTAAAAAAGCTGTGCCTTTGTATCAAGTTAAAAGCTTTAGCTCTTAGAAAGGTTTCGAAGAAGAGAAGTATGCTGGACGCAATGGGCTCCAGCAACTTCTGGGAAACCATCTACCAAAGGGATAAAAGGAATTCAGGATTAGTGAAAGCAAAGATCACGAAACGAATACACATACTAGGATTGAGCTTCTTATGTCTCTTAAAGTGGAGTATCTGATATGGTATTCGATGTTCCTTTTGAGCTATGTATATAAAAGTGGTCGTCAAATAGCATCTTTATTTGCTTTAGGTTTGGTTGGATACCTAAGTTTCTTTTGCATTCCTGTTTTTCTTACATTCTTTGACTTTTTTTAATGGTATAGACGTCCAAAGCACAAAATGGGGCGTTTATCGAAAATGTATCGATTTAGGTTAAATATTTCGCCTGCCCCATCTAGCAACTTCTTAAAGTCCCAAGTAGATGGCAATGTCATGGATTATACCATCAGATCACTAAGTTAAGGTTTCCTTCTTTCAAGAGAGAGTTTATTAATTAAAATCTAAATCTTTGGAAATTTTGAGTTCCTAAAGCTGTGCTAATTAATAGGTTGTGATTTAGCATGCAGGCAATTAATTAAGAGGAAGTGAAAAGTTTCAATATGCTTATTATAAAGATGAAAAAGCAGCCGACAAGAGAGAGTTAGCAAAGAAGAGTGATTTGAGAAAGTTATGTTATGAAAACAGCAGCAGCCAGGAGCTCAGAACTTCAAATTATTAGGCTGCGGGACATGATCTAAATAGTGAGATTGTTTAGCTTTAAGTTTACAGCACAAGTGCCTACTCATGTTCATCTTTTGGAGTAGGCAGCTGATCATCTTCGTCCTTCAATATTTAGCAAACAGCATGCAATGTGCAATGCATGTTTGGGATCTACGTGGACAGGGCTACCTCTCATATTATGATATCCTGGCACGTGCATCTAAGTCACAACTCTCTTTTAATTTAGCATTATCTGGAGAAGGATTAAGCCATTATTAGCAGCTAATTAAGGTCTATATCATTAAGTCGAATGGTATTTGTTCAACCAATATATACATATACATGGTCCTGTAGGTCTTGCTACTAAGGTATAGATACCACTTCTCTCGATTTCTCTTTTGCTTTTCCTTCTTCATTTTTTTTTTTTTTCTCAAACAGAAGAGTGAGAGCGTAAGAGTTGCCTAGTGACCCAATGCAATAAATCTTCAATCAAGACAAACCATGTTTCACAGAACAAAGCATTGTCTTTCTGCGTTGTGTAGAAGTAGAAAAATCTGAAACCAAGACGCAATATTCCATTTCATAATTGGAGACAGGCATATATGCAGGTGCGTGCCTACATGTCATGTGGACATGAGAGAGAAAGAAGGACGAGTAGTTTTTTCAAAGCCAAAAATAAAGAAGGGGAGAGCGAAAAAGCAAAAGGAGAGTAAGGGGAGAAGAAACATGCATTGAGGCAATAATAAAGCAAAGAAAAAGAGAAGGAATCCATGTCCCACCTCTTCAAAAGCTCTCAAATCACCATCATTAGCACAGCATCCCAGCCCCCATCTAATATTAATTAGCATTTCTCCCTTCTTTTTCTTTCCTCTCTCTATCATTTTTTTTTTACCTTGTTTTTTTTTCCCCCGAGAGTAAACCTTAGAAATCTTGAAAATATTAGATAATAAATTAAATGTGTTATGAAAAAAATTTAAAATTATTTTTAAGTGAAATTTTTATCTCACATTGAAAAGGAATGATAAAAAAAATAACTTATAAATGGACCTCTAATAAAATTTTTAAATATTTAATTGAAAAAAAAACTAAACTAATTAATTGAAATTATATATATATATATAATTAAATTCATAATCAAGACTGTTAGAATTTAATTATTAATCAGTTAAATTCAACAATTATGTATATTATCAAAGAGTATTAATACTTTATAAATATATTTATGTTCAAAGGTAATATATATTAATGAAGAAGGTATATTAATTATTTTAAGAAAATCATATAGTGGGAATATGATAAGATATTACATATAGAAACACGAAAACTCTAAAAATGGAGTTCTCGAGCTTTTGTACTTAGATTGAGGGGTTTGAATATGCTTTACCGTCAAATAATTTAGTTTATCAAACAATATCATATCATCGTATTTCAAGCATTTTGAGCTAAAACATATCATCGTATTTCAAGCATTTTGAGCTAAAAAGCTCCAATGTCGAGAAGTGTTTTCGACTTCGAATGAAGATAATACGTTTGCACTATATTTCAAAGTGTTTTTTCAAATATATTTAAATTAAAAAGACATTGAATTGATTTATTCTTAAGTGTTTTTAGATAATTTTTTATACGATAATGTCAAAAAAAAAAAAACCCAAAAAACCTCAAATTACTAAACACACGTAACCTATTACTAAACACGCAAAAAGAGGATCGATTCAGGGTAATAGAGTTGCACTCGTGACTTGGAATGTTAGAGGCTCTCCACTTTCTACCAAACAACAACCACTGGCGGCTAGGACTACCACGGGGACCAAATTGACTACTACAAACGATGAGGGGCTAAAGTGACACATTGAAATTTCTGGCTTGGCACGCTTGAATCTCCCAAAAGATATGTACTAAAGTTTACACATATGCACATGAAACTTCAAGAGTTAAAAAATACAAGTCATTTAAGAACTTAGCAACCTAATTTGCTTGTTGGCACACTGTTGTTTGGTATTTGATTTTGAATCAAAGAACATATGAAGGACCATTTGGTAAATTAACTCTGTTTCATGAGCGTACAAGCTATTTTGCCTGACGCTACTTCAGTAGTTTTGCCTCGAAAATCAATCGTAGGTCAGCTCCCAGCCAGCATAAAACGGCCCTTCACGGATTCTTTAGATCCATTATAAAAAAGATGCATTATAAAAAAGAAAGAGCTTTGAACCTGAAGAGTATAGGAGTGATTATTTGATTTTTTAATTTTCAAATTAATCGAATCGATTAAAACAAAAATCAAAATTAAACTAAATTGAAGTATGGGTTTTTAGTTAAAAACAGAATTTTCTCATTTGATTTTTCAATTTTTGATTATTATTATTTTTTTTTTTTGAATTTTGAATTTTCTCTTGAACCAAATTGAAATGCTATTTTTTTGTAATTTTTTTTTTAATTTTCAAAAAATGTTAATGGCTTGAATTGAAGTTTTAATTAAAAAAATCGTAGAAAAATACTATGAGCCTTGGGTGGGTATGTTAAAAAAACAAAACAAAACACTAATTCGATTTTTGATGAAAACTGAATTTTTAAATTTAAAAAACCAAACCGAATCAAAATAATTTCTGTTTTCGATTTTGATTTTTTTAAAAAAAATTTATAAAACCAAGCCGAAATTATTAATTTGATTCGGCTTGATTTTTTTTAATTTAATCAAATAATCCCATCCCTGCTGGAGGGATTGCAGTTTAAAACAGTCCTCTTGAGGAAGCAACGGGGGACCTGGTCTTGCTTATTTGACAGTTCAACTATCATCAATTCATATCTCAACTGAACTACGATTTCTTGGAAGATGGAGTGCTAGAACTAGTTGACAAATTTTTTTGGATTGGACTTACTTTGTTTTAGGGATAACATAATTTATTTTATGAGATAAATCGAAACCATTAATTTTAAAAACAATTATTATGATTTTTTTATATAAAAAAATTAATTAACAATTTCAAAAAAATCCTAAACACCTATTACTTTGATAAAATGAAATTCTGATCATTCATCAATTGAACAATTCTTTCAAACCTCAATCCACACTAAATAAACGCACATGCATACTTTTTGCAAAACCAAATTACTACTCCTACTGCGTAGCATAGCCAAGAAGACACCTAGATAACAAATTTTGTGGCAGTGACCCAAATGAGCAATGGCCCTTGTTCTCGATGAGCTAAATAGAATGCTTAAAATTAAGGTTAAAGGGAAATGAAAATAGGGTCCATTCGTGTATAATTATTATACCAAATTAAGCTTAATACTTAGCCATTTGTTGGATGATATCTTCACAACCACGCGAGGCCGTGTGGGTTATGGCCTCTAATAGGGTCCCTCCATTTAATTGAGACCATGGCATTGGTTGGTACAAGCAACGTTTCTGCTTTTGATTTCATCAATCTTATGTTCCTACGCAGACACTAGACATCAAATTTGAAGTTTTTTCCAGTGAAGAATCAGCCACATAATCTTAGACCATGGAAAATAATGTGGCCCAATTTTATGTCAATTTCAATGTAGGTATGCATTTTTTCAAAATGGTATGGACCTTTTTCTAGAAAAATATTTTCAAACAAAATGCTGTTGATGGATATGATGATGATTTGGATATCTTTAAACTCCAGAACGGCATGGAAAGCAGAATTTTCTAGCTCCTCTTTTGAAAATTATAATGTGACTCTTATGCCGATTAAATTATTGTCTTTTTTGGTCAAAAAATAAAAGGGAAAGACAGGCTTGATCAACCTTTGAAGAGGGATGAATCCATCAACAAAGTTTATTGATCCTTAAATCGATTATTCTTCACATTTAAACTGCATTCGAAATATTTCAAAAGAAGCACAAGCTGGTACTTGTTTGGTTACAAAATTAATTGCAACAAAAGGGGACGCCTTTTGCACTCAAATTCCTTTAGCTGGCAACCAGAAACCCGTATGTTTGAACAAAAGCAACTAAAAGCAGAGAGGGAGGGAACACAATTATCTTTAGGGGTTAACTGATTTAACTCAAGGATTGGGATCTGCAGAGTTTAAAGATCGGTAGGGCAAAAATGAAGCATGGAAGAGTATTATTGGTGTAAACATGACTAAAGCAAAAGTGAATGGGGTAATGCACCCAAAAAAAAAAAGGAATCAAATTTAAAATCAAAATGGGAGTTATAAAAACATTATATATGGTTTAAATTTTACCTTAAAAGTCTAAATCTTACGTTTGTATGGTCGTGTTTCAAATTTGGTTGCCATCCACGAATTAAAGGAATCAATACTGAGTATATAATTTAAAAATGAAAAATAAAAATGAATTGGATGGTTTTTTATGGAAAGTGACGAAAAAAAAATCTATGGATGACAATAACATCAAAATTATTCATTTTGTATAGAAATATTGTAATTCAACGTAAGTACAATTAACAGAACACATATGATGCCATATTTTCCTGTTAAAACAATTAGGGACTAACATTTTCCTTTTTCTATTTTTATATTAATCTACATGAGAATTTTTATAACTGATCATATTTCAAATCTCAAAATTATTTTAAAATTCAGTTATTTAAATTACGTGATATAAAAAAAATGTCTAAAAATTTATATAATTTTTTAATAATTCAAATATGTGCATTCAATTTAAATTTGATAATTTAAAATTGACAGGTGTGAGGAGTGGTTGAAAAATCTTTATCCAAATACATGTATTAACTTTGTTTTCTTTCTCCCATTTAATTGCAATTGCCTTTGAAATCTCACCTTCTACTTTTTAACATGCATAGAGATACTGAGATGGAGCGTAATACTGTATTTGAAAAGGGCATAATTCATAATTTAGAGAATAGAGCGTAGGCATGATAATTACGAGAATTTGGAAACGGAAAGGAAAGTATGAAATGGATGTGGGTCGGTGTGCGGCGGTGCAGCCTCAGCCTACCCCAAACCAACTTTAAACTTTTTAAGTACTCTGAATTCACAAATCTTGCTTGTTTCGTCAACTCATAATAATATCCCCAGGAAACCTGACCGAAGAAGGGATTACAGAATTCCTTTTAAAAAACCAGGGAGATCGTGGAATTTTGATGGCTGATTCAATTGCGGGTAAAAGAAATAATAATAATAATAAAAACAAGGAAATAATGTCCGGTATGAAGCATAGAATTCAGCACAGTAATAGTCTCCAGCTTCGTTTTCTATTAGAAATTCTAGATAGGCGTAATGCTGTCTCTATCTATTACATAGCTTTGATAGTTTGATGAAATGAATAGGTTATTATTATTATTTTATTTTATTTTACTTTCTTAAAAGGGAAAAAATGACAACGGGTTCTCAAAAAAATTGAACATAAAACAAAAATGGTTTTAAAAAATTGTGGTAGTAATTGCTAGTTTTATTTCTAAATGATATCAAAGGGTCTCTCGCTAGTATAATTCTTGCTACAAAATTATGATTTTTCATGTTGAAAACGGTAATTAAAATGAAACTTCTGTCTTTGGGATTTGGTATGAAATACCTTTCAAATGCATTTGTAGTAAATGCTACCTAATCTCCTTAATCTCAAATGGGTATTCTGCGAACGTAACCGCATTCATTCGACAATTTCATTATAGTTTATTTTGGTAATTGAAGTGTCATTTCGCCTCATGTGGAGATTGATACCAGATCAAATTTTCGTTTATTACAATTTATTTATTTACATGGAAGCATGTATCTATCTATCTATGCCCAAGGTTGAAATGGGCATAGATGAAATCATCAAAACTAGAAAATTTGCGCTTCAAACTGAAGCATACTGGAAATTTGAGTGGCTTCTGCTGTATACTGAAGAGGAAAAGAAAAAAATAAAGACCAGAAGAAAACAAAATGAAATTTCATATAAAAACACAGAAACCTCGACGAGATGAGAGAAAACAGAGTTGCATAATGAACCAGAGCATCTTGGCGCCTGATTGGGCCCCTTTCTTTACTTTGGGAGTGGTCCACCAACTCATTGGTATGGCTGGTGGGGCCACCCAATTTTTGCGCCCAAAGAGAAAGCCAGAAAATAAGGGTGGGAAATAGAAATGGCCGCTTAAGAGAGTAAATTACAAATGAAATCCTCTACTTTAGCAAAACGAATCAATTCAAAAACTAATCATTTAGTTTCTAGGTTTTAATTCCTTCAATAATTTAATATTTTTATCATTTTTTATTAAATTATTAATTTGTATTCTCAAATTGTTATTAAATAAATCAAAATAATAAGAGAATTGAAGAGAAAGATGATAGAAAAATAAATTCATTATAAGATAAAGTGAATACAAAATTATTAATTTTTATTCTCAAATTATTATGAAAGAAATCGAAATAACAGGAGAATTGAAGAGAAAGATGATAGAAAAAATAAATTCATTATAAGATAAAATGAATACAAGAGATAACAACTTGAACAACCAAGCCTATTTATAAATAAGCTTGAAGATTAAGAAAATAATTGAAAAGGATCATAAATTATTAAAAAATAAATAAATTGCATCATTCTTTCAATTTCTCATATTGAATGATGAATTGAACCACATTAAGAATATTGAATAATAAAAATATGAAATGATCATGTACATTCATTATTTCATAACACAAATTAATTTTTTTATGATTTTTTTCATCTATTTTTTCTCTCTCTTCAACTCTTAGGGTCACTTACCTATCAATTTTTTTCAAATCAATTTCTCTTTTCTCAACTACTATTGTGATGTTTTTCTCTCCTCAATTATTATCATGCGACATCTCTTAATTTTTTTTAATCAACTTGATGGTTAAAAGAAAAAAAAATGAGTGAAAGAGAGAAATAAGATACCAATAAAAAAATAATTTGAAACAAAAATCACTAATTTAACAAAAAAAATAATAAAAAAAATAAATTATTAACGAAAATAAAATATAAATAATTAAATAATTATTTAAAAAAATTTAATTAATTCTCTTAAAATGAGAGGGACTAATTTATAATTTACTCGCACTCAAGATAAAAATCAAAATCATATCTTTGTTGTTGTTGAATGTTGTTCAAAAAAAATAAAAAAAATTGTGGATGTTTCAAATCCATGGTGATCACAATTATCTATGCACTTTGGGCCTACAATTTTTTATTTTTTATTTTTTCACAAAATAATGCATAGTAACTATCTAATAAAAATATTATGTCTTTTATATTTTATTATATTAAAAAAGATCGTTGCAGTTGAACTTATAACATATTCATAAATAAAATTAATAGTGTTTCATTAAAAAATTATATTTTAAATTATGATCAATTATAATAACACGAATATCTTAAACTATAGTAAGATTTTAGTAAAAAAATCTGGTATATTTGTTGCTTGTGGAATATTAATAGGTAACTTAATTCTGTCGAAAGAATCAAATCCATTATGCTTTAAAAAAATTCTTTAATTTACTTTGACTCAAATCACCTTAATTTTTTAAGAAAACCTTCAGTTTTCTATTCAAGTATGATCAAAACAATTTTATATTCGAACAATTTCAGTCTTCCTTTGGCTCATTCCTGTTCAAACCCCTTTTCAACTTTGTAAATAAAATCACTTCTCCATCTACTTAATCAATTCTTCTGCACACACTCTCTCTCCCTCTCTTTCTCTTTCTCTCTCATTGAAAACAGTTTCACATCTTCTTGTCTGATAACATTCTCTTTTGATGTTTCTCAGTATCTCTCTTCCTACTGTCGCCATTTAGCTTCATCTTTGATAGTTTTTATCTTTTGATATCTTACCAAACTTCATCTCTTTCTATCTTTGTACATAGCAAGAAAAACAGAGCAACCAACTATGGCTAGCAACAAGTTTGCAACCATGCTTCACAGAAACAGCAATAAGATCACCCTTATTCTAGTCTATGCAATCCTTGAATGGATTCTGATCATTCTCCTCCTCCTAAATTCTCTGTTTTCTTATTTAATTATCAAATTTGCTGATTACTTTGGCCTTAAAAGACCCTGTCTCTGGTGTTCTAGGCTTGATCATTTCTTTGAACCTACAAATTTCCAGAATTCTTATAGATCTCTCGTGTGTGATGATCATGCTAAAGAGATTTCCAAACTGGGCTATTGTTCAAGTCATAGAAAACTAGCTGAATCGCAAGATATGTGCGAGGATTGCTCATCCTCATCGCATGGTGAATCGTTAAGCAAGTTTGCCTTCTTTCCTTGGATGAAGCAACTTGGAGTCCTTCAAGATTTTGAGGGTGATAAGGTAAGCGAAAATGGTGAGGAGGATTTGAAGTGTTCTTGTTGTGGTGTTTGTTTGGACACAAAACTATATTGTGATGATTATTATCTAATTAAGCCTTCTTGGGGTGATTCGGATGTTACCCAGAAAAAAAATTTCGTTTCAGAACATCAGGTTGATGATAAAGTTGATGTAGATGATCATTCTGATAGAGAAAGATCAGATTTTGTGAGTGATGTATGTGAAGGAGAACAGGGGATTAGTGAAAACAGGGGAATTGAGATTGGAAACAGAGAAGAGGAAGTGGAGCAGAATTGTTCAGGCTCTGTTTCTAATTTTGATTGCAAGGAAGTGGTTGCCGATGATGGTGAACAAGAGGATATGTCTATGGAGAAAGAGGAAGAACCAGTCAAGAAGGATGGTTTGAATGTGCAAATGGATAATCCAACTTGTGATCAGCCTGTTATGGTTCAAGAGGATAGCAGTAAAGACATGACTACTGAAATTCATCCTCAGCATCTAGAGTTTTACATTGATCAAGATGATTGCCACTTGATTCCAATTGAACTCATGGATTCGAATACAACGGAGAAACAAAGTCCAGAGAGGCACGAGAAGGGAGTGGAGGAAAATAGTGGTAATGAAGATTTTGTTTTGGAGTTTGATGAGCAAGTTGAAACACAATATGAATTGGTTGTGGAGGATGGGGGCAATTTAGAAGAGGAAGTGCCATTGCTTTCAGTCGATGATAATGAGGATGAGCCTAAGGTTGCTGTGGTTGAGTCGAGGGAAATTCTCGAGAAAGAGATTTCCTCAGAAGTGTATGCAGGTTTGGATTTGCTGGCGGGGGAATTTGAGCTAGTTGTCACTGTTCAACCAACTCAAACCCTTTCTGGTGATGGCAATGATGCTCAAGAAAGTTCAGTGACAGCAGGAGAGGACATGGATTCAGATTACAACCAAGGTATGCATTCCATTTTTTTTAATCTAATTTATACTTAATGTTCCATCTTGAATTTTAAAAATAAATTTGTTAATATGTGCAGCGTCTGAAGAAGTACTCCAAATGCGAAGTGATGAAATCGAAGCAGATGTCTCTATAGGAACTGAAATTCCTGATCAGGAACAAATTGATGATATTCATTATGCTGAAGAAGTTTCTCCTTCATATTCATGCATACAAGAAGACCCTTCAACTAGCAATGCCGATTATCATGCATATGAAGATCATGGTAAGCTTTACTTTCTACATTACCCTTTTAAAATTTGTTTTGACTCTATGTGTATATGAGTTGATATTATTTAGTTTAGCTGAATTGTTCGTTGCATTAGGTTCTAAGCAAGCTGAGGAAGATGGATTAGAATTTAGGACCCTAACTGTGGAGACTGGCGAGCTCTCATTGCATTCAGATAGCAATGAGCTTGAGGAAGATAAAATGCCCGATACACCAACTTCTATCGATAGTCTTCATCACCTGCACAAGAAACTGCTACTGCTTGAAAGAAGAGAATCTGGCACGGAAGAGTCTTTGGACGGAAGTATCATTAGTGACATAGAAGCAGGTGATGGAGTTTTGACTATGGAAAAGTTGAAATCAGCTCTGAGAGCTGAAAGGAAGAATTTAAGTGCTTTATATGCCGAACTAGAAGAAGAAAGAAATGCCTCCGCAGAGGCAGCCAGCCAGACAATGGCAATGATAAATAGACTTCAAGAAGAGAAGGCTGCAATGCAGATGGAAGCTTTGCAGTATCAGAGAATGATGGAAGAGCAATCAGAGTATGACCAGGAAGCTTTGCAGCTTCTGAATGAACTTATGGTAAAGAGAGAAAAAGAAAAGGTGGAGCTCGAAAAAGAGCTGGAAGTGTATCGCAAGAAGGTACTGGATTATGAGATGAAAGAGAAATTGATGATGTTGAAGAGGAGAAAAGATAGTAGCACAAGAAGTGGAACTGCTTCACCTTCTTGCAGCAATGCAGAGGATAGTGATGGACTCTCTGTTGACTTCAATCATGAAGGGAAAGAAGTAGTTGAAACCTTCGATAACCATCTAGAAAGTAGTAACCAGAACACCCCGGTCGATGCAGTTCTATATTTGGAGGAGTCATTGGCTAATTTTGAGGAGGAGAGGCTATCAATTCTAGAGCAACTCAAGCTTTTGGAGGAGAAGCTTTTTATGCTGAGTGATGAAGAGGAGCAGCATTTCGAGGACATAAAACCAATTGAGCATCTACATCAAGAGAATGGCAATGGCTACAATGGGATTTGCGATTACAGCAGTGAATCAAATGGAGTTGCAAATGGTCACTACAAGGAAATGAATGGAAAGCATCATCAAGAAAGAAGAAACATTGGTGCAAAGGCAAAGAGACTCCTCCCACTTTTTGATGCCATTGACACAGAAAGTGAACATGAGATGCTAAATGGGCACTCAGAGGGGTTTGATTCTGTTGCATTGCAAAAATCAGTTAACAAATTTGACATGGATAGCAAGAAGCTTGCTGTTGAGGAGGAGGTGGATCATGTCTATGACAGGCTACAAGCGCTTGAAGCAGATAGAGAGTTTCTTAAGCATTGCATGACGTCCTTGAGGAAAGGAGATAAAGGGATAGAGCTGCTTCAAGAGATTCTACATCATCTTCGAGATCTAAGAAATGTGGAACAACGTGTAAGGAACTTGGAAGATGGTGCTCTGTAGTCCTACTGTTCTCAACCACATCAAAGAAGCTAATAGGTAATCTGATATGCCTTGAGTTAAATTCTAGCTAGTGTTACATTCTCTTCAAAAATCATAATGCTTAGTCAAAAATGGATAAAAACTAATTGATTAATTTCTGTTTTCGGTAATGCAGTTTGCATTTTGGAAGTTGAGTAGCAGCTACAAATTCGAGATGGAAGAGCACTGACATTCTTGTTCAAGGGATACGTGACCAAATGCAATGCCACATTTTCAGAAGAAGAAAAAAAATTTCATATGCGAAGCCCCTCGACGGAGGAGGAGGCTCCAGCTATGGTCTTTTTGGTGGTCTTGGTGGACTGTAAAATTGAAAGTCTGCCCTCTTTTATTTTTTTATTTTTTCTTTCCTTTTAACAGTTTTTGGTGTCCAAGTAAGCCCAAATTTTTGGCGGGTTCAGCTTATCATCCCCTTTTGAGGGGAAGGAGGATGGTGAGTGCATGTGTGTGTAGGCTAGTGAAGCGAAGCCAAGTTGTCATTTGCATGCTGTGAGAAAGGGCCTGGCTTGCAAAGCTGGAGTGATCCAACAGAGATTCCAGTGCCAGGTGCATAGGTATTAGTTTATTTAGACAGTTAGGACTAGAACACTCTTTTTTTTAAAATATCTTTGGGAAGGAAAGGAAAAGGGTAATTAATCCAGCCTCTCTTCTTTCTTGTCTTTGCATCATTTCATCATATGGGGTTTGTTTATTATTTGTAAGGGCTAAGTTGAGTTACTTGTATACTAAAACGTATCCTTTTGTAAAGTATATAAAGTGAGTGTTTGTTTATTCTGTTTTGGAGCTTCCTTGTGCTGTATATTCTTTGTTATGAGGGCTGATAGAGATGTATGCACAAAAATGATTCGGCAATCAAATTGATAATTAGAATATGAAGCAAACATTGCTTTCACTTTTGATGATGCTTTAAGCATAAAACTCCTCTTGGTAGGTAGAAACCAACAAAACTCAAGCATGCAAAGACAGGTATTACTTGCTGTTAAATTTTGAAGGATCAGCTTTCCTTCGTAAGATCCACGAGTGCAAGGAAAAACTAGGCTTTTTTTCCTCAAAAAAGATGGTTTTGCCTTGCATTATTTGAGGAATCACAGCTAGGACAAGAAATATTCCTCTTAACATTATTTGTGGAATGAAGCTTGCAACAACAACCAGGACAAATAATTAATTTGAATAGCAAGAACATTCAGTACTGTCAGTGGAAAGCCCTAGATGCATGTGCATGGAAATCATCATTATTGTCGGATTTAGGGGTAAGCTTAAATGATTACTTGGATCACCCGCCAAGAACATATCTTATTCAAATGTTATGCAAGTTAGAGCAACCATAACAGTCCACCCAACATGTTAATCAAGTAGGTCTTGTATGATCCAGCTGCAGCTGTCCTGAGCTGCCCTAGTGTTAAATCGCGTAACCTATCAAAATTCTATCCCTTTTTGGAGTCACATGCTAAATCTGCCCAAACATGTTGGGAACACCGATCTACGATGAATTGGTATCTTATCTTGCATTTATATCCTCCTCCCCCTCCTGGTGGTAAAAACTTGAAGGGATGGAATGAGATTTAGGAACAGAGAGGGATTATCTCGTATTGTGAAATCCGAAGTCCATTTAATCTCCTAATTAAAGAACCAAAACAAAAATTGAAAATATCATAGCTGATTAAAGTAAAGTAACCTTGCAAAACATGTGCAAATATATATGGAGCTGAGGTAAAAGCTTACTGTTTGGAAACAAATCAATTTGCTTCGAGTTACTATCTTATTTTGGGTTTTATCTTTACTTAAATTATGTATTTTTTGAATTTTTTTTTTTGCTGAGATTGTCAACTTTTTTTTAATTTGATTGAGATTATATATCTTCTTTGAAATTTCTTGTTTTAGACTTTCCGTTATAACGTTATCAATTTATTATTGAAAAACGACATTCTAAATTACAAAATTTTGAAAAAATTATCTGTCACATGCTGATAATCTTATAAAAAAAAGAGTTGAAATAAGAAATTTCGAATGGTAAAAAATCTCAATCAAATAAAAAAAAAAGGCTTCAATTAGAAAAATTCAAAGAATATAGTATCAAGATATATGGAGAAAAAACGAACCAATCTATTTTTTATATTGCTAGTTCAGGCATCATAGAGAGTTACTCTAGGGTTGTAAATTTAAATTTAGAGAATAACTAGTTTTTTTTTTACCCCATAAAGTAATAAAATTATTTCAATTTGATATCTCATATTATATTATATATTTATCAAAATATATCAAATCAAAACTGAATAAAAATTTATTTGATTTTATAATTTTTAATCAAAATTTGTATTTGACTTATTATTCTTTATATTATTCATAATTTTTTTATTAAAAAACATTATTTATTTATTTATATCCATATTTTTAACTAAAAAATTACAATAATGTAAAAAAAAAAATCAAAATCAATTGATTCTTAACTAAAAATGATTTTTGATAGTAAATCAATATTTATTATTATTATTATTTTGTCAATTACTTACTTCATGATTATTTATTTATTTTTGAAGAAAGCAGCAAGCTGGTGCGTCCTATGTCAACATAGTGTGACAGCATAATTATTTTGGTCTAAAACCTGGTTCTAATTTTTTAACTCGTTAAATAAACACCTATATCACTTATTAGATAACCGCACAGCAAGTCGGCAACCATGCCCCTAATATTCTTCCCACGTGCATCATCATTCGTGTAGTTCACATGAAGGCAGCCTTTTTTATTAAAAAAAAAAAAAAAAAAACAATTTTCTTTTTCCAAAAGAAAAGATGCAGAATTGCAGCTGCTCTAATCATTTTTATCACTAAGGTTCAACAACTTTCGGCGGTGTTTAACAGCATGAATAACAAATAAGTCAAGGTTAGGTGGCCTTCATAATGTTTCTAATTAATAACAATTTGATGCAAAGATGTCCCCATTTTCACGTACCAAAACGTAATTTGCCCTATGATCAATGAGTAGATTCTTGTACTGGATTATTAGGCTCAATTCTTTTAAGGGACTTTTCCTATGAGATGAAAGATTATATATAGGTCCCCATGCCAGTCAACCTGGATCTAACCCTGGTTAAGGTAAAATTCGTGTTCTATTATTCCTTTTCTTCTTCTTTTTTTCAAGTTCTCAGAACAGTCGCTCCAGTTTATATTCTGTTTTGGTAGCATGGGTTATATGTATTAGGGATACGATGGCTTTAAATTTTAATATACGATTTGAAGATAGCATGGGTCATATGCTGGCTGACTCTGCCTCTTAATGATAAGTTCATCTGCTTGACCAAACGAGAAGCGTTGACTATTTGACAATTTAGCAGGAAGGATGCATTTTTTTCACGACTGCTCGTAATCACCTTCTTCCGCAGACCTTCGTCTCGCGCTACTTTATTGTGCAATTTTTCTTAAAGACACGTTTGATTAACTAAAAGTTGCGGTGATTTTCAAGGCGACAAATTTGTTTGTTTTCTAGCAAATACTACATACGGTGTCTTTTCATGTTGGCGAAGTTTACCTTTAGAGTCCAATTAGAAAAAAACTACCCACATCAATTTTTTTTAGAACAAAAATAAAAAATTACTTTTTGAGAAAAAATTACTTATATAATGTATTAGTAATATGTAGGTATAAACAAACAGGAGAAATTTTGTGATTGGCCCCTCAAAAATTTTTTGATTGGCAAAGCTAATAGGTTGTTAACAAGTGACAATTTAACCTACACTACATCACACAATAATATCTACTTTTATTAAAATTACTCTGCTTTTTCAATTTTTTCTCCCCATTCTTTCATGACACCCACCATCCTTTTTTTTATTTTTTCCTTTAACATATTTTTCATACAACTCCACCAACACCAAGTCACCATTGATCAAATAATAATATTAATTTATTTGAGGTTTTTTTTATACCAAATTCTAGCATCACCAATAAACAATTATTATAGTGGTATAAAATTCATCAAAACAATGTTTTTTTTTATTCGGAATTTGTATAGGATTTTTTTGTGAAATAATATTTTTAGTATTTTATTTGTTATTCTTTTATGTTATGTTTTATTAGCTATGGGTAAGTAATTACAAGTAATAAATTATATCTCGATGCATATAATTGTTATAGTTTAGTGTGTATATTTTAGGATTTTAAGTAAGACTAAAATTATGTTATTTATGATTTGTATGATGATTTATTATCTTCTAATAAGAGGATAATTATAATGAATTATTTTTTATGCATATAAGTAAAATATGTATACTCTAATATTTAAATTGATTAGTAAAAATGGACATTGTTATGATAATAAAATTAACGATAAAAATTGAATTTATTTGCATAAATTTAAGTTTCTTTTTTGTAATATAAAAATTAACATTATTAATTTGTTTGTTTTTTTAAGAAATTTATTAATTCATTATGGAGAAGTTAAGGATAATTGATTCATTTTATTTTTTAAGAGAATACTTAATTATAATCATCAAAGTGGACGAATTGAGAATTCTCCTGAAAAGAAGCCTTCTAAGTGTCCAATACTTGAATATAAAGAAATTGATATTAATGTTTTAGAACATAAAAAAGTTAATGCTAATGGTCTGAAAAATGAAGAAATTGGTCCTTGTGGTTTGTAACATGTAGCTGATGCTTACGGCTTGAAACATGAAGAAATTAATATCAATGATCTAGAATACGAAGACGTTGATATTAATGGTTCAGAATATGATCCGGAATTTCATCCGTAAATTTCAGAACACGCACACACTCACACAAACATGCATATATATATATATAAGTGGATGACTGTAGCTGTTATAATTGGCCCTTCCAAAAATTTAAATCAAGCTCCACCATTGAGAGTTGCTACAATACACCGATACTAGTAAAAGGCGTTCCAACCATCGGATTTGATTTAGTGGATTATTGATTTGAATTTAGTGAAGTTTTTATTAATTTATTTAA